CAACAGACTGGCCTTGAACTTACAGAGATCCACATGTCTCTGCCTCACCAGTTCTGGGACTAAAGATGTACGCCACCACTCCTGGCTCTACCTGCCAGTTTTGATTATTTTCAAATAATCTTTGAAATGAACTGAAATTATACAGTTTAGGAGGGGGAACCGCAACCATATACCTCTGTTCATGTATTAATATGCATAGGCACAAATGCCAAGCACTCAAAGAGAGGCAAGGGAGCCTGCCTCAGGTGGGTGCACATCTGTAATCCTAGCACACAGTAGAGGATTACAGAGGGGAGGGTATCCTGTTCCAGACCAGCCTGAACCATATAGTCAGGCCCTGTCTCAAAACAACAAAATCAAAACGTGCCGGGCGGTGGTGGCGCATGCCTTTAATCCCAGCACTCGGGAGGCAGAGGCAGGCAGATTTCTGTGAGTTCGAGGCCAGCCTGGGCTACCAAGTGAGTTCCAGGAAAGGCGCAAAGCTACACAGAGAAACCCTGCCTCGAAAAAAAAAAAAATCAAAACGTGGGGCCAGATGATGGAGCCCTTCAGTGAAGTAAACAAATGGATAGGGTTGGGCTTCTAGGGGGAAAAGAAGTGGCCCAGGCCTATAATGCAGATGAAATCTCTCAGGTCAGGGTGACCTGTGGTCATTTCCATCTGGGCCAATCAGACCTCCAGTGTCCGCCTGTAGACAAGATTTTTCCTGTGCAGAAAAGCGGGTATGAGAAATACCTCTGCCTGCACATACTGTCTACTGATGTGGGCAGAAGTGAACAGCTTCCTGCAAAAAAAGCAGCGTCTTGGAGCCAATGTTCTATCTGCAAAGGTCTGCAGTTCCTCAGAATGGCCAACTTGACATATGCCACGGAAATACGTTTGGTTGGCTGTGGGTGTGGCTCAGTTGGTAGAATCCTTGCAGGTGCCAGCCTGGGTTCAGTCTCCAGCACTGTATAAACTGGGTGCAGTGATGCACACATGTAATCCTAGCACTTGGGAGGTAAAAGCTTGAGGATCCCCTTATGTATCATCTGAGGATACATAGTAAGTTCAAGGATAGTCTGGCATACAAGAGACCCCGTCTCAATAAAAACAAAACAAAACTGAGCTAAAAAAAAAAAAAAAAAATCTGAAGCCAGAGAGATGGCTCGGTGCTTAAGAGCGCTTGCAACTCTTCCAGAGGACCCTCTTCCAGAGGACCCAGGTTTGGTTCCCAGCACCCAGGTCCTTTTGCTCACAACTGTTACAACTCCAGCCCCATGGAAATCTAACTCCCTCTTCTGATCTCCATGCACACCTGCTCATGTGTGGCATACGTTCATCCAGACAGACATACACACATAAGCATAAATAATAAAAAGAAATATTTAAAAAGTTACTTTTGCAGGCCTAGAGAGGTGGCTCAGTGCTCAAGGGCACTTGTTGCTCTTGCAGGGGACCGAGCATCCAACGGTGGCTCACAGTGGTCTGGAACTCCAGTTTCAGGGTTCTGATGCCCTCTTCTGACCTCTGGAAGCACCAGATACACAAAGTGGTGCACACCCATACGTACAGGCAAAGCAGTCATACACATAAATACATCTAAAAAAAGACTTTTAATTACTTTCAGGTGGGCTGTTTCAGTCTCCGACAGAAAGGGCGGTTTTTTGGGTTTTTTGTTTGTTTGTTTGTTTGTTTTTTGCTTGCTCACTGTCTTGCAATATCCTAAGAAAACCTTACAGATTTCTAAGTGGGAAATTTCTAAACTGAGGCAGAGAGAAGAAGCACACCTGGTTCAGAGTCCGGAACTAGGTGTTTGCAGTGTCGGGATTTGAACTTGGGGATCTTGACTTCAGAGCTTTCATTTATTGCCACGTCAAACTTATCCTAATAGAAAGGATTATTTATTGCCTTTTTTTTTTTCTGTGCCAGACAGTCTTGCTAAGCATTTTTTATCTGTTGTGTCATAGTTCACATTGGAATTCCAATATGTCTTTGCAGATGCGCAAACTGAGATTCAGTTTAAACAACTTACGTAAGTCAGCGCTCAGGAGACACGGTGGCCCCATCCCATCGTCTAGGTTGGGCAGTAGGACTCTGCCCACCCCCAACTCCCAAAAATTCACAATGGTCACAAGCTACCACTCAAGGTAGTGGTGATGGCCACCCAGGAGGAAACCATCCAGGTCACTGCCCAGAGGGAGGAGTTTTCTGGAATGATCCAATTGCTTGGGTGGTCAGATGAAAAGAGACTAAGGGCTCTTTCTGAGGAGAAAGAAGCCGTTTTTAATCAGGCTTGAGCACCTTTTCCAGGCAAGTTGGTAAAACTTACAGACTGAGGGAGGGGTGAGGAGTCCTTCGATCTGGGGAGAGCCTTCCCAGTGTTCTGTTGTGGAAACCGCTCACCGAAATATAGAAAAGTCATTCATATTGACTATGGGGCTTCCCAAAGATGGCAGCTGTGCATTGACCTTATTTCATTAAGGTCTGGAGGGAACCTAGCAGGAATCACACACCCTGAGTCTCTCCAGCTGTGTGGAAGCTTGTTGTGACCTGGGACTGTGAGGCAGGGCTGCTGGCTGAGTCCTGGTCATCTTGAAAGAGGCTTGGAGGACAGATGGTTCAGGCCTCAGCTGGGATCCTGGGCCGGTGGCTGCTCGGCCAGTCTGAGGCAGTGTGGTGTAGGTTGTCATGGGAGGGGGCCCCAGTGCTCAGGCAGCAAGCCGCTGTGCTTCAGCCTTTAGCTTTCCTGTGGGAAGGGACCAGCTTGACCCTCTGAACTGCAATCTGCACGTTGAGTTATCAAAGACAACTCACTTTCCACATACCCTGGAGGCAGGCCTTCAACGGGCCCACAGAAACTGCCCTTGGAGTTTTCCCCCAAAGGCATGAGGGCCCCTCCTTGGAGCCGGCTCTCTGTGGAAAGGGGCTCTCGTCCAGATGGGCCTGGGCGCCAGCCAGCTGCTGAAGTTTCCAGCAACAAGGCCAAAGGAAAGTACCTCAGCCTTCAAGTGACAGGTCACAGCCCTCCCACCCCCATGTCAGCTTACTTCCGGGGCCTCTTTCACCCCCTGACTCTCTGGCAGTTTGGGGGTTCATTCCTTCACCCGCTGCCCCCTTGAGTCTCCAGATTTGGAGCAACCCCAGAGCTGGTTCTGGGCCCAATCCTAGAAGTCACCCCTTCTCATGTGAGGTTTCCATTTCCTGGTGAGAGCTGCACTTTTTTACCAAGGGGCCCCCGGTTGCTAGGGCAACGGCAGGGTTTCCTGTAGCTGAGCTTCAATTGCAGGCAGATCTCTGTCTCCTCCACCCCCAGCTTCATCAGATGACTGACCCTTGCTGACTGCAGTACTCTGGCAGTGGCAACATGGGGGCAAACTGATAAAGCCGCTGTACCCAGCGTCCCACCGCTTCAGTGAATACCACCACCCTTGATATGTCCGCTCTGTGCTGGAAGTAATTCAGGCCCCATGCCCCAGCAGCACTCCCAGGCAGCTTGTGCTTAGCATAACCTTGAACTCGGGGAAATGAGCACTGAGCCCTCATAAGTGTCAGGGGAGAGTTCTCCTAAGTTGGGGGATGTGTAGGGCTGGAGACTGCAGAGTTGCAGGTCTCCATGGTTCCATCCTCTTTTCTAGTTCATTCCTTGCAAGTAAGTTATTTTTACTCTTACGAAGCAGTACGGAGCTGTTTTAAGGCAGTCAGCTTGTACCAGCCGCTCTTAGCGGCGGACCGGGCCCTCCGTGGTTCCTGATTGCTTAACTTGCATCTCCAGCCTTTCTGCTGAGTGCTTGTGAGCTCAGCTCAGCTCTGCACCCGATTCGCTTCCCCTTTTCATTTATTTATGGACAGTACACCTGTGTCCCTCTTTCTACAATGTGTCCCTCATTGCGGCTCTTGTCCCTGACACCTCCAGCCCATCGTCCTCACCCAGTTTCAGTAAGATATTTTTCAGTAAGATGTTTCGTCCCATTTGCTCAAGTCTCTCACAGTGGTGATGACCTTGTTCCATCAGAGTGAAGCCAAGTTTTCACAGCGGCCTCAGGTACTGGCTCAGACCATCCCGTCACCGTCCTTCTGTCTGCTGCCACCTCAGTCACACCGAGCTCTGTGTTGCCTCTTACCCAGGCATCTGTTTGAGACCTCTGACTGGCCACCCTGGGTTACATCCTGTCACCTCTTGTCCCGCACACTGTTTTTCCTCCAGGTGCTTATTGTAATCCATGTGGGTGCATTTATCACTGGGACCCATGAAAATGGGATTGTCCAGTCTTGAGTATGTCCTGCTGTGGTCTCAGGATTCAGAGCATTGCTGGCTGGGGTGGATGGTGGGTGAATGCAACATACCCAACCTGAGATGATGTCCTCAGGGAGACACCTGGGAAGTCTTGCTTCTCATTTGGATTCGAGAAGACCTGGTTGGGAAGCCGTTCTCAGTGAGTGACTTGGAAAGAGGGAACACAGGGGCTCTGGATTCTGGAGTTCTAAGTGTCTTGACTTTGGATCAAATGTGGTACCCAGCCTCCCAGCCTTGTTCTCCCCCACCTCTCTCTCTCTCTCTCTCTCTTTATTTTTTTGAGACAGGGTCTCTCTGTATAGCTCTGGCTGTCCTGGAACTCACTCTGTAGACCAGGCTGGCCTGGAACTCACAGAGATCCACCTGCCTCTGCCTCCTGAGTGCTGGAATTAAAGGTGTGTGCCACCACTGCCTGGGTGGTCTCCCCTCTTACAAGGGTACCTGCTGCCTGTAAGGATAAGGGCAGATAATAGGCACACAGCAGGGCCTGGGTCAGTGTTAGGTCAGTGGTCTTACCCAGCCTCCCTTCTCCTCCAGGTCCCTTTCCCACCCTCCTGTGATTGACTGTGCACTATCTAGTCCAGCCACTGTCACCTGAAAAGCAAAGTTCCTGGCTCCACCAGGTCTCTGGATATGAGACCAGCAGAAGGGAAAACAAGGGGCCCAAAATGGAGAGTTACAGAGTACAGGGGTGGTCTCTCAAATTCTCTTTCTCTCTCCACAGTGGTTTCTGCTGCAGAACCCGAGACCATGGCCAAAACAGTCCAGGTAAGGGTCACTCTTCCTCAACATCCTGCCCTTAGGTCTGGGAACCCCAGCATCAGTAGGCCAGAGTCCCAGGTACCCTCAGCTAAGCCGGGTACCTTCGGCTAAGCTCTGCTACCTTTAGCTAACCGTTGGTACCCTCAGCTAACCCCTGGTGCCTTCAGATAATCCCTGGTACTTTCAGCCCCAAAGGAATAGAGATGGTTCTAAACTCACAGCTCTCCATATGCAAGTCACCAGTGATGATACACAATATCCCAAGTACTCAAGGATGTGACTTGGCTCAAGTCCTGGGAAGTGCAGGGCTTCGGGGACTGGCTGGATCTAAGAGCTTAAATGATAGAGTGAGGATTCTGCTTCTGTGGGCAGCTTTTTCTAGATTGCTTCATTCCTGAGAGGTTCTTCGTTGCCTAGCATGGGCATCATGTACCTCCGGGCTTCTATTCTCCTGTCTTCATAGACCTGGATACAAAACTTATTTCCAGTGGTTCCAGGTTTTATCCTCGTTGGGTGACATGCTTTTTGGAGTGGGAAGTTGAATTGACCCCACCAGAACTATGTGGCCCCAGGAAGGGAGATGGGCACCTAGACAGACACCAAATCACAGTGAGGTTGCTTATGCCCTGAAGAGGTGTATTCCATGTCATACCCATTGGCGTTAAGTTCTCCTGGCCAGGAAGAGTCTAACCTCGGTCTTTCACACTGTCTGATCACTCTGCTGGGTGATAGAATTTGAGACCAAATGGAACATTCTCTCCTATGTGGCTAAGGGTGGTGTGAGGGCTTCCTCTGCATTAGGGTTCGCCTGAGAGAGGTCCCAGTTGGCTACCCTTACAGTGCGCACCTGGCATTGGAAGGGCAGGATGAGCTGAGGGATCCCCAGCTGACCCCCTTCTGTTGCTTAATCCATCTCTGGAACTTCTGATCACAAAGCAGGCCTCTTACCCCCTGGCCGAACTGAGAGCCAATTTCACTTCTCATCCCTCACGTGACACCCAATGAACCAGGGATAGTCGCAGCTTGCAGAGAGTCGTGTTTATATGATACAAGGCAGACCCTCAAAATAGTTCTTGCCCAGCTTCCCTCCACACCCCTGAGGAGCGTGTTTGGTTCCACAGCCTCTCTGATCAGGCCGATCAGGGAAGAGTGTTCGTTGTTGTGGGCAAAGCTCCAGGAGCTGTTGCTGCTTCCCTCTTCCTGTGTGTGTGTGTGTGTGTGTGTGTGTGTGTGTGTTCGTGCTCGCGGGCGGGCACAGGAGCTGGGAGGCACTTGCCCTGCAGGATTCTGAATGACTCAAGCGACAGGTCAGTCTGAAAGAACAGTAGGACCAAGACTTGGGGTTCAGAGGTTTGGGCCAGGGACCTTCTGCAAGCAAGTTTCAGGGTGGCTGGGCGTGAGTGCAAGTCAGATGTCCTTGTACCATGCTTCGGTGGGACATAAAAGAGGTTGGACATGAAAGCAGAAGGGCACCTTTGGGTCAAGCGGCTTTGGAAAACAAGAAGGGTCTGGAGCGGACTGACTGGATCAGACAGCCAGAACTGAGAAAGAATCCAACCTCGTCAGGGCGAAGGGTAATTTTGAGTAACTGGTGGGCAGCAACCTCAAGAGGGAGAGGGTTGCAGAAGATAGTACTGAGGGATGTGAAAAAGGAAGTTGGTCTGTTACCTGTTCTCAGCACTGTCTGTAGTGCCCCACGTACGTGTGCACACACCCACACACCCTTGCAGACACACAGCACACTGTTCACGCTCCTTGGGTCCAGTCACCTTAGCCCCTTCCATCATGCTGACTGGTCCTTCCTGTCCCCTTCCAAAGAGGTAAACTTGGGAAGAGGGCAGACTATGACTCCATGGAAGGCCCTGGGAGATGTGGCTCTGTGGCCTGGTCACTAGTGACATTTGGTATTGGGATACTGTAGTGGATATAAAAACACTTTGCAGACAGGGAGAGAGGGGCAGGTGTGTGTCCTGGGACCCCAGCAGCTGCAGGATGAGGTGGGTGCCAGAGCTGGTTATGGTTGCTCTCTGCTAGAGTTCCCATACAGACAGTTGTCTGCCTAGGTAATGTTTATCTGTGTTCTATGAGTCCCAGGACACCTGTAGTAGCTGGGGTGGAGCCTCACAGGCTGGAGCCCCAGGGCCCAGGCTGCTCACCACCTGGCAACAGGGTCTGCTAAATATTTCAGGGTGGAAAGCTTTCTCCCCACTCCCTCCACCCTGGGTATCTGCATCCAGAATCCTGTCTGCACAGGGTGGGACAGGCTGATGACAGGTGGCCTGGGCCTCTGCACACATGGCATTTAGGAATATAAACTTCCACAACGGGGCGAGTCATGGCCTGTGGGAGCTAAGCCTAGATGTTTTGGGGGAATGCTTCTATACCTTTATGTTAGCAGCCAGAGCTAAGGCCTACTCTGCTTGCAGTACCCATGACAGTGTGACATCTTGGATCATGGAGCTAGAAGGCAAGCACTGAAAAGACTTCTCCATCATTGTACAGAGCAGCATGGGAGACTGAACTAGATCCCCATTTAGTTTGTCTTTCCGTGAATACTTTGGCCAAGCCTGTGCAGGCCATTAGCCTCTTGTCTCCACTCAGCCCCTCTAGGCAGCTTTCAATCCTATGGTCATAGAGACCCTGGGTGTATGTGGCTGTGAGCGTTTGGGAACCATCTCAGAATCTATCTTGGCACTTGCTGCCTCCAACACGTCCCCTGTAATGATTAATCTCAGTTGTCAGCTTGATGTGCTCTAGATCCACCTAGGGAAATGGTCTTCTTGGCATGCCTAGGGAAGGATTTTCTCCCCTCTCCTCTTTTTTAAAATGAGAGTCTTGCTATGTAGCTCTGGCTGGCCTGAACTCACTGTTTAGACCAAGCTAGTCTTGAACAGACAGAGGTCTGCTTGCCTTTGCCTCCCAAGTGCTGGGATTAAGGGGGTATCCCACTGTGCCCAATTCTGGAGGATTACCCTAATTAAGTTAATTGAGGTAGGAAGACTTACCACTGTGGGTAGCACCATTCCTTAGGCTGGGGTCCTAGACTGTGTGAAAAGGAGAAAATGAGCTAAGCACAAGCATTTATTATTCTCTGCTTCTCGACAGTGTAAGGAGCACAGCCAGCTGCCACCCCAACTTCTCCATCATGATGGACTGCACCAAAATAAGCCCCTTCTCCCTTAAGTAGCTTTTGTTCAGGGTATTTAATCACAGTGACAGAAAAGAAGCTAAGGCATCCCTGCTATTGACCTTGAGAAAGTTTGAAATGGCTGCTGCTGCTTGACTGCTTTTAACCTACACAGAAGATGGGTTACACGGTTAAGCTTCCTGGAAAAAAAAATGCAAAACCCCAGAAACAGTATCGTGAGGAGCATCTCTGTTTAAGAGCAGAGACGGCAATGGCAGGTGCAAGAGCCTTGCTTTGCCTAGGCCCTGATGTAGGTGGCATGCCCAGGGTAGCCATCAGGACTGCAGGCTCTCATTGACACGGCGACCCCATCTTCTGCTTCAGGCTCATTGTACCCCACACGAGTTGACAGACTCTGGGCATCGGCTCCTAAGCACTGTAACCTGGGGTTCCTTTCCCCAATGTTCTCACTGTCTCCCAGGCCTCTGCCAGGTCTCCTCCATGTGGTAATTTCCACAGCCTCTCTCCCCATGGTGGAGGGCCACTGTTACCCATCCTGTAGAACTCACAAGAACTCAGACATCATCTCCAGGAAGTCAGCTCTAATCTGCTTAGGATGTATTCTCAGTAATTCACTTGTTTATTTCTGAAGCAAATACCAAGGTGTGCCTAGATGTCCTAGGTCCTGTGCTAGGGGCTGGAATACCTCAGTGAGTAAGATAGATGCAGTCCCGGCCTTCACAGGGTTTCTTCTCCGGCCCCTGTGCTGCTCTTAGCTGACTGGATTGTGGCTTCATTTACCATGTTGTTCCCTGCTAGACTGAGTTCTTACAGGTTCCTGGGCTTAGCACTAGCACATAGTAGGTTCTCACTGAGAGATGGATGGATGCATGCATGCATGTGTGGGTAGATGAATGGATGGATGGATAGTTGGGTGGATGGATGGGCATGAAGATAAATGGGTAGCTTGGTAGGTAGATGAAATGGTAGGTAGATGGACAGATTGATAGATGCATGGACAGATGAACAGACAGGTAAATAAATGGAAGGATAGACTGCAGCATAAATGGGCAAATGGTGGATTGGTAGGTAGATAGGCAGATGAATAACAGATGGATGAGTGGGTGGTTCTGGTTTCCTTGGAAATGAGAATCTGTGTGTTGGGGTCTAGGCATGATGGGGCACTGATGACTGTTTATAACTTGAAAGTGGGTCATCCTGGCACAGAGAGGAAATAGGTCTCCAGAAGCTGCCATCCCAGCAGGGGAGGCAGACAGTGCAGTACAATAACTCCATGTTTGTCTTCAAGGAGAGACAGTGGGTGTCATTAGCTGAGGAAGAAGCCCTAGGCTATGTGATGGTCAGTCCTTCCCTTATGACCCACCACACCATCCTGGCATCTGGCAGGGAGGGTGAAAGCTTGGTTTGCTAGAAACAGTCATCTTTCCCCTCCCCCGTCAGGCCTCTGATATGCTGGCTGGTCACATGTCACTTGTCCTCTCTATTTTGGGTCCTTGAAATTTTAAGATACGTTGCCTTATTCTCCAAGTGAGCCTCAGGATCAGTGGCAAGGAGGTTGGATCTAGAGAGATGATGGACATGTGGACTCAGGCAGGTGGAGAGGAAAACATCACGTGTCATGGCAGCAGCTGGCTGTCCCAGATAGACAGACCCCAGAGGACCTGGCTCCCAGAAAGCTATTTCAAAGTTGGACATTTCAGTGCTGGTCCCAGCATCTCCAATGCTGAGCCATGAGGCTAAGAATCCATTCTAAGGAGTCCAACTGCTTCCCCCCTCCCCCCCCCCCCCCCCCCCCCCCCGCCTGTTTCCCTCTTTAGCATTCTTCACTTCAGAAGAGAACATTTTAGTTCCTTCATTCAACTCAGTTACATTTAGCAAGCCTTTCTGGTCTCCATTGCTAAGCCTGTGCTAGGTGTGGGGATCCACTATTCTCCTATGTAGTCATGTCCCATTCCTGATGGCTCCTGTCCTTGTGGAGTCAAGAATCAAAGAGCTGAGTGGTGTCACTCACCTGTAATCCCAGCACTCAGGTGGCAGAGGCAGGTGCATCAGGAGTTCAAGGTCAGCCTTGGCTACATAGTGAGTTCAAGACCAGCCTTGGCTATATGAGACCTTATGTCAAACCAACCAACAAACAACTCAAAAGGTTCAGGAGGAAGGTTAGACTAAAAAGTCTTTAAGGCCCTTTGCTAAGCAGACATCCTGGTCCCCTCTGCCCCCTTTTTCTCCACCCTAGAAGCTGATGGCCATTCTTTGACATTGCTAGACCAGGATAAACAGAAACACCAAATGGTTAGGAGGTAAAATTCCAGCTGGACGCTGTCATTTTTCCAATAACAGGGGCTTGGGGACCTCTTCTGGTCAGTCTCTGAGCCGTGTGCAGATCAGGCCTGACGCTGGACCTCAGGTCCCTGGATCAGACTCTCCAGGGTGGCCCTGCGCAAATGCAAATGTGGCAGAAGGGCTGAAGAGGGCGGAGGGAGTCTAGGCAGGAGGTGGGGCCAGCATGCGCCATCCCTCGCCTGGTCTGCTGTCTGGCCTGTTTTCTCTTTCTTTGCCCAGGGCTGAGATCAGGTTGCAGGGGATTCACGAATGGCGGGAAGAAGGCTGTGTCCCTTTCTGGTCACCCGCCCTTTGAGAACTTTAAATAGCAGCCCTGCACCCACACATGCATACCTCTCAAGAGTCAGCTCGGTGACCGAAGGCAGAGGGCAGACAGATGTCTGGCTGGATGCTGTGGTAGGAGCCACCAGGGGACACCGGACCATGGGAGGACTTCCGTTTTGTCTGTGTCTCACTCCTTGAAGGCACAATCTATGGGCTCCTTGGTCTGCCACTGTGCTCCCCGGCCTCCCGCTGCTCCTCCATCCACAGAACTTTTTCTGGTCTCCTTTTGGAGCTGGTGTTGGGCTTAGCTGCTCTTCCGTAACTTGCCTCTCTCCTTAGGTGTTTACTACAATCATTTATCGCTCATATCCGCCACTGGGCGAGGGGCTCAACAAAATTAGATCTTTGGTTTTTCTGAATCTTTAGCCCTTGGCCCAGGGCCTGGCACGGATTATGTGCTGTGTGCCTGCCCAGTGACAGCCCCTGGTGTACTGGATTTGCCCGGTGGCTCTCTCAGACCCCATACTTCTCCATACTGTATGGCTGGCCCACATCTGCTCCTCTGTGAAGCAGCCCATTGTTAATTCAGCTTTGATCTGATGTCTGAGGTCTCCTGGCTCTCTGCCTTCCTCTTCTGGCCTGCAAGGACCCTGCCAGCTTATCCTCAGATGCCGTTTCACAGCTCCGTTTACTGGGCCCCCAGGACCAATGCTCATCTTGGTATTGAATTTGAGAGCAGCTCTGGGTCCCTGTGAGTAGCTGGCAGCTGTTAGGTTTGTGTAGCTGAGGGGAAGCAGGGAAGAGGGTTGGGGTCTGTGGGGCTCCTTCCTTCTCAGGGTTTGGTTGTAGACCTTAAACACTCCTGCAGTGGCTAATATATCTGTGTTAATGGAGGTAAGAGGCTTGGTAAACTGTAAAAATGCTATGAAAAATGGCCACATAGTGAGACCCTATGTCAAAACAAACAAAAATGAGGTGGGTGACACCTGAGAAATAACACCTGTGGCTGACCTCTGACCTCCAGCTACACACACACACACCCCGCAGGTGGGACTCCCGTCACTCACAGGGCTCATTTCCACCCAGCCACTCAGCCATACTTTAACCTCTCCTGGTGGTGCCAAGTGATGAAGGATGGTGAGCCTTGGCCAAGCCGCCCTCCCTTGGAGGAAAGGCACTGTCCCTTTGAGCAGGCTGCATCTAATAGTTCTGAAGAGTCAGCCACACCCTTCCCAGGTGACCTCAACCCTTGTTTTTTTCTCTGGGGAACAGAGCTCGGCCTGAACCAGAGCTAACGGTCTGTCCTGGGTCCAGGCCCAAGGTCAGAACTCACCCTCTGCTTCTCTCTCCACAGGGTGCAATGTACCGAGGCTCCATCCATGACTTCCCAGACTTTGATCCAAATCAGGATGCCGAGGCTTTGTATACAGCCATGAAGGGCTTCGGTGGGTGTCGGCTCCCCAAGAGTGGGTCCTATGGGAAGGAGGGTGCGTGGGAGATAGCCAGTCACCCCAACATGTGGCCTACCCTCAAGTCATTTGCGGTATTCTGTGACTTTTCCTAGAGAAAGATGAACAGACTTTACCCAGTTAGGGGACTAACAACAAACCAAAGACACCATTCCATTCATCTAGTTTGATAAACCAGTGAGTTTATTGGGGTTACTTACAGGAGCATAGGTGACCCCAAAACAGCCACATGACCAAAAAAACCACTCACTGGAAAGCTGCGTCCTTAGTAACCCCTGCCCAGTTGCAGACAGCTCCGCCAGAGAGGCTTGCCTCTCTGCAGCCATTGTTACTGCTTTTAGAATCTTGGAGCCTTATGGTCTATGTCTCAGTCTGGGCTTTCTGAATCTGCTAAGGTCCCTGAACTTCTGCTGAGCCTTGTAAATTTCATGAGCTTCCAAGTCTTAGAAGCCTTCCTCCTCCATCCTTGAGAGAATGTCTCCTTTCCCTGGAAAAGGATCCACCAAATAGCTGTTGGTGGGGGAGGAGCCTGGAATGTCGCAATGTGGTTTGGTTTTGTTTTGTTTGTTCCTGTTGCTAGGGATTGGACCCAGGATCTTGTGCAGGCCAGAGCTTATTTAATTCACTTTTTTTTTTGGCCTCTTTTCATATTTTATAAATTTACAATAAAATATGTCAAACCAAAAAAAACCTCTGTGTGTGTGTGTGTGTGTGTGTGTGTGTGTAACCACTAAAGAGATAAAGAATACTGAAGCCTTACCCACAGACCTGAGCTTAAGGAATGACCTGGTTAGTATAGCTGGGAACCTTGGTGAGCTGGCAGCCTCCTGGTGACTCCCTGCCTTTCTTCAGGGTGACCACTGACCTGAATTTGTGCTTATCGACACCCTTGCTCGTCTGCAGTTGGCAGAACACAAGCTGTTAGAACATCTGGGTTTTTCTAAGTCAAGTGCATTGTGAAGCCTTGTGAAAGTCCTCACCTGTCTCTGGGTCTCACTTTCTGCATTTGTGCCACAGAGAGCTCAGTCAGGGACCCTTTGAGCTCAGGTGTTGTGAATGCAATGACTCCTCTCTGTGGGGACTTAGGTCCCTTTAGACCAGTGGTTCTCAACTTTCCTGATGTTGTGACTCTTTAATACATAAAATAATTTCGTTGCCACTTCGTAACTATAATTTTCTACTGTTACAAATTCTTGGGGTTTTTTTTGTTTGTGTGTTTGGTTGTTTGTTTGTTCTTAATATTTTTTAAACTTTATTTTATGTGCATTGGTGTGAAGGTGTCAGATCCCCTGGAACTGGAATTACAAACAGTCATGAGCTGCCATGTGGGTGCTGGGAGTTGAACCCCGGTCCTCTGGAAGAGCAGACAGGGCTCTTAACCACTGGGCCATCTCTCCAGCCATGTTTGTTTGTTTTTCGAGACAGGGTTTCTCTGTATAGCTTTGGAGCTTGCCCTGGAACTCGCTCTATAGACCAGGCTGGCCTTGAACTCACAGAGATCTGCCGGCCTCTGCCTCCCAAGTGCTGGGATTAAAGGTGTGCGCTACCACCGCCCAGTAACTGTTTTGAATTGTAATATAAATATCTTATACTCAGGATAGCTGATTTGAGGGGTGACCCACAGGTTGAGAACCACTGCTGTCACCTCTTTGTTGAGAGCAGAAGGTTTCTGCTGATAACCTGCAGGAGCTGCAAGGCCTCTGTCTGATAAAGGAAGCAGCGCTGGAGGGCTTCCTGGAGGCAGGCTGGGCACGGTGACAGTGTAACCGAATATAGTAGGCTTGCATCTTGTCGAGCAAGTCGAAATATGCACAGTAGAGATTGGTGGAGAAAGATTTATTCCCTGCGGCAGGTGAGGAGGCCCGCAGTCATTTTCAAGCCAGCGTTCTTGCTGAACAAACAAAGCACGGACATTTTAATGCAGGCCTGTACAGATTCACACAGCCATGGTCCCATTCCCGAGTGATCCCATTCCCGAGCGAGCGCGCCCTCGTGTTAGGGGTACAGTCCCAAGCATGCTCACTTTAAAGTGACATAAATGCCTCTGGGCATGCTCCCCTTGAACCATGAAGACTTAGGTGCAAACAGTCGAAAGGACATTTTTTGGTTTTGTTTTTTTTTTTTTTTTTGTAAAAGGACGTTTTGAAAGTGCTTGAAGTTAGCACAGGATTCTGAACCTGAAGGCCATGTCTTGTTTAGTCACTAACAACAAGTGCCCTCAACTCTTCTAGGCAGTGACAAAGAGTCCATACTGGAGCTGATCACCTCCCGCAGCAACAAGCAGAGGCAGGAGATCTGCCAGAGTTACAAGTCCCTCTATGGCAAGGTAAGCGTGGCGGCTGGAGGGCCGGGGGGGAAGGGAACCGTCACTTCCTGTCTTGTTATTCAGGATCCTTTCCTGGCATTCTTCTCCATTCTGCCTGCATGCTGGCTCTTCCCACTCTGCTCTTACTTGTCCTTTGGTCTCACGCGTCATCTGAGTACCTTGCGCTGGGCACCGTGCAGGTGTTAGGCCCTGCACTGAGAAAGCAGACCTGTGCCATAGCCACTCTCTACACTCCCGGATCCTAGAAAAGACAGACAGTGGAGGGGGAGGATGTTGAGGGCTTGAACCTGCGTAGCCCAGTTGCTAGCTACGTGACTTGGGGCAGTGGCCTGAAGTCTCTAGAATCTTCTATAAGGGGCGATGGTGGTGTCTCCTCCTGAGAGCTGGATTCAGCAAGGCCTTGGACCAGGCAGAGAAAGCATTCACTTATCACCCATTCCTACCATGGTGCTCCTCCACCCCCAGGACCTCATTGCCGACTTGAAGTATGAGTTGACAGGGAAGTTCGAGCGGCTGATCGTGAACCTGATGAGGCCACTTGCCTATTGTGATGCCAAAGAAATTAAAGACGCCATCTCGGTAAGAAGCATGGGTCCGAGTGTGCACTGGGGGTGCAGATAGGGCTGATAAGTTCTGGGCTATGCCACAAGCTTGTGGTCAGCCCCTGCCCACCCAGCCCATGTGTCCTGCTTTAAGAGGCAGCCTGTCCCAGATGGGTTTCCTAGTCTTCTGCAGCCTAACAGATGTGGACAGATGTCAGGGAAAAGTAGACCCTGTAAAAATGAGGCCTTTGTTCTGATCCCCATGCCAGGGGTTATAGTCCTGAGAAACTGGAGACGTGGAGACAAATGCTGTCCAATACACTAGAAGCTTAAGGACACAATAAAAACTAATTATTGCAAGACACTGGCTCTAAGAGGACCAAGTTGAGCCCAAAAGTCTGTAGAGGCTCTGGTGGGTAGGAGTGCAGGGGACATTCCAGGCTGGGGATGTGTGTCCAGGTTTCAGCAAGACTTAACCTGTTTAAAGCAGAGGGATGCCCTCTAGGAAGAGGGGCCAAAACCCTTGAGTGGGTGTGGTAGTGCAGGCTATCAGTCACAGCACTGGGGAGTGAAGGCAGGAGGATGGTAAGTTTGAGACCATAGCCTCGGTTACAGAAAAGACCAAAAAGGCGGCGGGGGGGGCCACTGGGAAGATGGCTCAGTGGGTAAGTGCTGGCTATTGCAAGCATGAAGACTTGACTTCAAATTCTCCATAAAAGCCAGGCACCTATAACGCCCGTCTTGTAGAGAGTGGGAACAGAGATCACCAGGCCCTAGTGGTTAGTCAGCCTAGCCAGAACAGCAAGTTCTAGGTTTAGTAAGAGACCCTGTTTGAAAAACTAAAGTGGAGAGTGATAAAGAAGACACCTGAAGTTGACCTCTGACCTCTGCATGCAAATACTTGCATGTGTACACAAAGTCCCTGATTTAGGGTGTGTGACTCAGTGGTAGAATGCCTGCTTTGACGCTCTGGGTTGGTTCCATCCCTAGCATCCAGAAAAATGTACACAAAGCCCTTGATTATACCTGGCACTTTATAGTTTATAAAGTCTATGACCTCTGCCATCATTGAGTTCTCACACATAGATTCAATTCATGAGTGGATACACTTAGCCATGCAAGAATGTATTGCTTTCTTAGCCTTAGAATTTGGCAGCTCAACGACGAGCTTTCCCATTGTATGGATGAGAAAATTGTGGCCAGAAAGATGAAGTCATTGTTGTTGTTGTTGAAGGTTTTATAAATGTTCACTTTATGTACAAAGTGCTGGCATGCTTCCTCCATTGGGTGGGTGACTTGGAGAATTCATTGGAAGATCACTCAGTCCGACTTAATGAACACCATGTACTCCACAGACAAGACTCTGGCAATACACAGTGAGACTCTATTTTCCCATCAGGCTGTGAGGATTTGTGCAGGAATGCCAACCCTGGTGTAATCTCTGCAGTAAACTTTTACTATTCTAGTAAAGTTGCCAATGCCCCATCTTGCTTTTGGTGGTGATTCTAGAAGAAAAAGAATGCAGGATTGTGTTGGTTTTATTTATTTATTGAGTCAGGGTATCATGTAGCCCAGGCTGGCCTTAAACTCCTAAGCCTTCTACCTCTGTCTCCTAAATACTGGGACTAGAGGTTTGTGCCTATTATGCAGCACTGGGTCAAACCCGGGACCTTATTGCATGCCGGGTAAGAACTATACCAACTGAGCCACATCCTTAATCCCAAGACTGCATTTCTTAGTGAGAAGTCAAGACAGCTGCTGTACACGTGGGACCAGAACCCATGCCTCGAGTCTTAGGGTGGCATCTCCCAAATGATACCCAAGAGCTGAGACAAAGACACCATGACTACAGGAGGTGTCACAGCCCAGGCTGCCCCAGGGTCCCCTTGTGGCTAAGGGCTTCCCATTCGGCTCTACCTGACATGTTCCTTCTCTCCTGCAGGGCATTGGCACAGATGAGAAGTGCCTCATTGAGATTTTGGCCTCCCGGACCAATGAGCAGATGCACCAGCTAGTGGCTGCGTACAAAGACGGTGAGATGGGCGGGAAGGACACTCAGACTGCAAGGGCGGGGGCCACTGAGACTAACCACCCACCCTCCCTCTGACCATCCATCTCTCTACCCATCTATCCATCCACTCACCCACCATCCACTCATCCTTCTAGCCATCATCACACTACCCATCCACATTCCATCCATCCATCCAACATCCATCTATCCTCTCATACATCCACCCATCATCCATCCACTCACTCATCATCAACCCATCCATCTACCATTCATCCATCTATCCACTCATCCTTCTAGCCATCATCACACTACCCATCCACATTCCATCTATCCAACATCCATCTATCCTCTCATACATCCACCCATCATCCATCCATCTTCTCATCCATCCATTCACTCATTCATCAACCCATCCATCTACCATTCATCCATCTATCTTCCCATCCATTTACCACCTACCCATCCTTCTATCCATCATCTACCCACCCATCTATACACCATTTATCCATCCATCTAACACCCATCTATCTTCCTGTCCACACACTCATCAATCCATCTATCCACCCACTCATCTATCCATCTACTCATCCATATCCATCTTCCCACCCATATATATCCCTCTCTCTATCCACCATCTTTCTGTCCATCCATGTAGTAAGTGCCTGTTCTGTGCCAGACAGTGTTCAGGTTCTCAGGAGATGGTGGTAGATAAAAGCAGTGTAGTCTCTGATAGCTGGAACTTGTAGCCTCCTGAAATAACGATGAGTCTCAGAGAAAAATAATAATGACAGACAGTGGTCAGATTTTATGAAGGAAATGAACAAGAACCAGACATTCCCAAGAGAGGACCTATGTCAGAAAACCTGTCTTAGGAGGAAGTGAGGTGCTTGTTGTATGGAGAATGGGGTGACAGATTGTCCTTCTGGCAGAGGGAACAACGGTATATAGACCCCTCTGCAGAAGTGAGTTAGGTGGCCCAGATGAGGCTGAAGAGGTAGAGGGTGAGTTAGCATCACAGAGGACTTTGTAACCAAAAGAACGCTGACATTTTACTCAGAGTCCAGTGACAGGTCAGGGGTGTTGCAATCAGATATGAACTTTATGACAGCTGCCTTGTCACTGTGGGTGGAAGAACCCTCTGTCCAGGTGAGGATGACGATCCAGTGGGATGGTACAAGGGGACAGAAGTAGGAAGAATCCACTTGAGTGTGTCCTGGTGCTAGCAGCTGTGAAGGGACACTTGTCATGGCAGCCATGCAGACTGGATTGGGGTTTATAACAACAGCTAATCATACGGGGTGCGGGGAGCAAATGACCTCTGTTCTGGATCCTAGAGGCTTGGGGTGGGGGATGAGACTAGAGCCCCTGTGTTCCTTCCACAGCCTATGAGCGAGATCTGGAGTCTGACATCATTGGAGACACTTCCGGCCACTTCCAGAAGATGCTGGTGGTGCTGCTCCAGGTGGGTCTGCGTGCAGACATATGCCCCTTTCTACTGCTCTCCCCATGGGAGCCACAGGGTCCTTTCACTGCTTCTCAAACAAGTGGCCCTGGAGGACTGCAGGGTGTGAGGGCCTCCTCTAGGCCGGCCTCCTTCACTGCCCATCCCCACTTGTTTTATCCTCTGGAGCCGAGAGGCCCCTCTGAAGCCTAGGCTCTGTCTGTTGGTCTACCCTTGTCCCAACGCCATGCTTTACACAGGCTTGTGCCCTATGGAAACCCAGATGCCTCATTCACAGCCTCCTTCCCCTCCTCATGTACCTTGAACTCCCTTCTGGGATTTCAGACCTTAGAATACAAGTCCCAAATCCTCATGGGTAAATTCTTGGGTTAGGGGGATGAGAGACCCTAGTATTAGCACACAAATGTGCAATTCTAGGCTGGACATGACTATATGTCTAAGATTCCAATGCTCAAGAGGTAAAGGCAGAAGGATCAGTGTAAGTTCTAGGCCAACCTGGTCTACATAGTAAGTTTTGGGTCAGCCAAGGCTACATAGTAAGACCCTGGACCACCCTTTACCCCTTGGGCATTATTGTCATGAAATGATCTGGAGAGTGCCAAGACCTGTGGCTTTGCCCTCTAGAGCTCTGTCTTCAAAGTACAGGGCTTTTGTCTGCCGCCCTGGGATGGAGGTACCAGAAGGACTTCAGTCTTTCCCAAGACTCCTGTTTGGTCAGGGAGAGGCTCCCTACAACTCTGTACAAAATAGACACTGGGCATTTCTCCTGCTCAGTCACTCTCATGGGCCTCCCCCTGGCTCCATACATTGGAAACACACACTCCCTTGTCTCTCCATCCAGGGAACCCGGGAGAATGATGATGTTGTGAGCGAGGACTTGGTCCAACAGGATGTCCAGGTAAGCGATGCTGATGGAGGTCTCTATGGCTCTGCCAGGAGCCTTGTGGGAGGGGAAAGGTCAGGGGCTTTGGGGTGGGGTAGGGGTGAAGTCTTTTGTATCGAGCAACCAAAAATCCCTGAATCACAGGGTGATTTTTATAGGATTTCACCAGGAAAAGAGATGTAGGTTTCTTTCAGAGGTAGCATGTAGCGTGTGAAGTCAGCGAGTGTGTTGGAGTGAAATGGTAACCTGCATTTGATCCCCAGCACCCATGTAAAAAGCTGAAGACATCACCTCAAAAAAAAAAAAAAGCAAACAAGGTGGACAGTTCCTGAGGAACAAAACCCGAGGTTGACCCTCTGACACCCCTCCACCACCCATCCCCCCCACCCACCCAGCCACACACAGAAAGAGGAAACTAGGGGAGCTTTGGAAAGGGAGAGAAGGAAAGCATTCATTTAACAGACCATGGGGGTATTTTTGGAAGAAGGGAGGATGTCCAACCTGGGCAGTGAAGGTTGAGTGGGAGCCTCCACGGAAAGAGGGGGGTGAGCAAAGGTCCAGAGGTCACCGGTAACTGCCGCGTTCAGGATCAGGTAGCTGCTCGGAGTGTGTCCTGTCTCCCCAGGTTTGGTCTTTCCGTTACATCTCACCCGCTTCTTCCTTCTCAGGACCTGTACGAGGCCGGGGAACTGAAATGGGGAACAGACGAGGCCCAGTTCATTTACATCTTGGGAAACCGTAGCAAACAGCACCTGCGGTTGGGTGAGTTCCCAAAAACCGCAGCTCCTCCAAGAGTGACACCGAGAACCCCTTTCTCTTTCCCCTTTCTACTGATGGAGCATGGGAGCCACTTCACTTCCAAACCAAATACTAGCCCTGCTGTGGGTTGTCTCGTTCCTTACCTGAGTCCTTGCCAGGACAGCCCTGTCTCAAGATGGAGTCCTGGACAGCAAATATGACACAACTGTGTCACCTCCCAGCCACCGCACCGAAGTGCCAGCCCCAGCCTCCGGCTAGCATTTGATTATCGGCTATTATGTCATCCCCTTCGAAAGTCTTTGTTCTTTTGTTGTTGCTATGGCAACACTGTTAGATGTCGTGTCTGTCTGTCGTCTGTCTCCCTCAGTGTTTGATGAGTATCTGAAGACCACGGGGAAGCCCATTGAAGCCAGTATCCGAGGGGAGCTGTCTGGAGACTTTGAGAAGCTGATGTTGGCCGTGGGTATGTACTGGGCGCTGCAAAGGAGTCTGGGATGTCAACCCAGAAGTAAGGGGACAGGAAGGAAAGGGATTCCCATGGGGTGGAGTTAGAAAAAGCAGGTAGTAGAGGATTGGTTGAGCAGCATGGCTGAGGCTGGGCATGGGACAGAACTCAGCCTTAGACACTGATGTCCTGTGTGATAAGGGTAGAAAACATCCACCTTAGATTGGGATAATAGTTATCAAAGACCTTGGAGAATCTGCTTGCCAGGCACCACGCTGTATTAAGTATCCCGCGCAGCTGGGGCAAGTCACCTAGCCTAGCCGGACCTTCATTTCCTCATTGATTAAATGAAGGTGGGGGGATGGCTGGATTTACTGAGTTCTTTGCCAGTCTGGTATTTTAAGAGTCATAGCCAGGCCACAAGTTAGTTGGTTTTTGTTTTTGAGACACGGTCTCATTTAGCCCAGGTTGGCCTTGAATTATGAGGTCAGCTGAGGCTGACTCTGGACCACCTGCTTCCGCCTCTGCATGTGCGTGAGCACACACGACACCGTGCTTGACTTAGTTGGCGCTGGGGACTTTGTGTGTACTAGGCAAGCACTCCCTCTGCCACTGAGCTGCATGCCCAGCCTTGTTTCCTGCTTTCTTTTCTTTTTTTTTTTTCTTATATTTTTTTTCTTTAATTTATGTGCATTGGTGTTCAGCCTGCATGTATGTCTGTATGAAGATGTCAGATCTGCTGGAACTTGAGTTACAGACAGTGCTGAGCTGCCATGTGGGTGCTGGGAATTGAACCTGAGTTCTCTGGAAGGGCAGCCAGTGCTCTTACCCACTGAGCCATCTCTCCAGACCTCTTTTTTCTTTTCTTTTATTTGTTTGTTTGTTTGTTTGTTTGTTTGTTTAATTTTTGAGGCAGGATCTCCTATATCCCATGCTGGCCTCAACTCACTGTGTAGCCAAAGATGACCTTGAATTTCTGACCCTTTTCCCTCCATCTCTGGAGGGCTGGGATTATGGTGTGCATCACTCCCAACCAACCAACCAAACACACACACACACACACACACACACACACACACACACACACACACACAGGTAAACACGCTTCCCTTGTGTTTAAAGCTGGAGGTACTCTGAGGCTGAGGACAAGGACTCCTCCTGCCTTTGAACTTGGTGGCCCCCAAGAGTTAGGAACAACTGGTAGCACCATGTGCAATCCCATCGCTAGGGAAGCCTGAGGCAGCCAGACTGCAAGTTTAAGGCCTGCCTGAGCTATGAGAATAAATGTGAGGCTAGCCTGGGCAATTCAGCAAAGACTGTTTCAAAATAAATAAAAAGTAATGAAAGGATGTGGCCTCTATCTCAGTTATAAAGCACTTCCCAGCACACCCAAGGCTAGAAATGGAGGAGAGGGAGGGAGGGAAGGAGGGAGCCCTGTAGGTGCCTTCCCTTTTCCGAGGCAATGGAAATAACTAGTCCTCATCTCCCTTTTCCCTCCTTTTTCCCAGTGAAGTGCATCCGCAGTACCCCAGAATATTTCGCTGAAAGGCTATTCAAGGCCATGAAGGTATGTAGTGGGGTTAGTGGGAATGAGGTTGGGGGAGGGAATCCTCTGCCTGCAACCTCAAGACTGCTGGGATTTTACCAAATCCTTGGTGTCCAGTGGCCAGAAAGAGCCTGTTCTGGTTTGGTTTTTGTTGCTGTGATAGAATACTGTGACCAGGGGTGGGGAGCAAAAAAAAAAAAAAAAAAAAAGGATTCTCACCAAAGGCAACTTAGGGGAGGAAAGGATGTATTGGCTCATACTTCTAGGACACTGTCCATCACAGAGGAAAGTTAGGGCAGAACTGAAGCAGAAATCATGGAGGACCTGCTTGCTGACGCACTCAGGTTCATGTTCAGCTAGCTTTCTTATATAGCCCAGGACCACCTGTGTAGGAAGTGGTGCCTTCCACAGTGGTTAAGAGCACTGGCTGAGCTCTTAGAGGTGGTGGCATGTGCCTTTAATCCCAGCACTCGGGAGGCAGAGGCAGACAGATCTCCATGAATTTGAGGCCAGCCTGGTCTACAGAGCGAGTTCCAGAGAGAAACTCTACCTCAAAAAACCACAAACAAAACAGTAATTAAAGCAGAGCAAAGTGGTGCATACTTGCAATCCCACAGCTTGGCATGGTGAGGCTTGGATCAGTAGTTCAAGGTCATCCTGAACCTGGTCACAAAAGCACAAAGTCAGGCTGGCAGGTAAAGGTACTTTATTTTAGTTCAGTCCTTGGGGCCATCATGGTGGAAGGCAAGAACAGTTTAAAAGTTTTATGAGTTGGAGATAAGGCATAGGGGTTAGGGGCACTTCCTGCTCTCCCAGAGGACCTGAGTTCAGTTCCTAGAGCCTATATCAAACAGTTCACAACCGCCTGTAACTCTAACCTGATCTCATGCCCTTTCCTCTTCAGTCACCTACACGAATATGGCATATATACAAATAGATACATAGATAAAAATCAAAATAAATCTTTGAAAAGTTTTAAACTATAAAAATAAGTAACAAATCAGAATATTCCTACATATATCAGACCATTTTAGAAAACACTTTGGTGGGGCTGGAGAGGTGGCTCAATGGTTAAGAGCACTGGCTGCTCTTCTAGAGGTCCTGAGTTCAATTCCCAGCAACCATATGGTGGCTCACAACTATCTAAAATAAGGCCTAGTGCCCTCTTCTGGTGGGCAGGCAATGCAGGCAGAACACTGTTAATAGAATAAATAAAAAAATATTTTTTAAAAAAAAGAAAAGAAAAAAGTCGGGCAGTGGTGGCGCACGCCTTTAATCCCAGCACTCGGGAGGCAGAGGCAGGCGGATCTCTGAGAGTTCGAGGCCAGCCTGGGCTACCAAGTGAGTTCCAGGAGAGGCGCAAAGCTACACAGAGAAACCCGGTCTCAAAAAAAAAAAAAAAAAAGAAAAGAAAAAGAAAACACTTCGGCATGTGTCAGTAATTTCTCCACATTCATAATGCTGATCATTGTGACCAGGCAGCTGGTTTCCCTCTAGGCATGTTCCGAAGGACAGCATTTCCCAATCTTTCTCTCATATGACACAGAAACCTGTGACATTTCCTTGGCACATTAGAGTAAATGAACATTTGCTATGAGAGATCCAGGAGCATGTGCTGTCCCAGCCCTTCTCGGCTACTCCAAAAGTGCAGAGTGTTTGGCCAGACATTCCCCGTGAGCACTGTCCCTCATGCCCTCATGTCCTCCAGGGCCTGGGAACTCGAGACAACACCCTGATCCGCATCATGGTCTCCAGGAGCGAGCTGGACATGCTTGACATTCGGGAGATCTTCCGGACCAAGTATGAGAAGTCGCTGTACAGCATGATCAAGGTGAGCGGGCTTTGCGGGTGAGGAGGGGAGCAGAGAGTTCCCACCACCACCAAGGTCTTGGGAACCTTTACACAGGAGCATGGAGGTCTTGAGCTTTCCAAGAGCTCTTGCTTTAGGGCATTTTCGAGGAAGTTGAAGCCCCAGGGGAGCTGGTAGCAGGAACAACTTGAAAGGAAGGCGTGGAGGTTAGAGAGATGACTGGGCTATTAAGAGCACTGGCTGTTCCTGCAGCCAGGTTCAGTTCCCAGCACCCACCTGAGGGGTCACAACTATCTATAATTTTAGTTCTAGGGGATCTAATGCCCTCTTCTGGCCTCTGCAGGCACATGTGGTGCACATGCATACATGCAGGCAAACACTTATACATATAAGTAAAAATAAATAAAACTTTAAAAAGTAAGGCATGACTGGATCCTGCAGGGCTTGCAAATAGATTTAAGGACCAGGATGCTGTCCCAAGGGCATTGCGTGTCCACAGTCTCTGCAGAGAAGTTCACTGAAGAACACAAGTGAGCATTAATTAGAGAACCCTAGAGCCCGCTGGGTAATTAGTACTATCTCAGGACTGGCCATCCCATGAGGCCTTGCCAAGAGATCATCAGACGTAGTAGTTTTATAGGCCGGCAGGGGAAAAGATCCAATTTGTACTCGTAAATGGTGTCTAAAGAGGATTTTTATGGGTGTCATGCCCTGGACATTCCATGGGGGAAAAAGTCTGGAAACGTCCAGAATAAGCAAAGATGCTGTTGCACAGGGTCTCTACCCTAGAACTTCTCATAGCCGTTAATATTTTGAGGTCCATTCCAAAGGCTCAAGGACTAAGTCATCCACATCATCGTATTTGCTTGACTTGGAGCATTTTCCCATGGGTTTGTTCATGGAACTGTACCTCCTTGAAATGTTTCCCTTGGATGTGATGCGCCAGGGACAGTGGAATGCCAGGGCCATGGGAGGACAGCAAGTATCTCAGAATTCCATGATTAGTGAAGTCAACAGGTCAGTGAGTTGTTATTACCGGAAGTATTCATACCTCAGGAAATGTGGCAAATGGCATACTCCAGAGACTTGCTCCTTCCTGTCTTTCCCAGAGAGCTGGTGGCTGGATAGTGACCGGCACTGCACTGTTCGGTGGCTTCGGCCACTGCAGGCAGGAGGAGAGGCAGGGCTGGTGTGAGTGTTCTGCTCCGCCCCCTCTTCTTGTCCAAGAAGAGCCAGGGCTGTGTTTGAGGTCACCTTTCCTCTCTCCCCAGAATGATACCTCTGGTGAATACAAGAAGGCTCTACTCAAGCTGTGTGGAGGAGATGATGAGTAAGTGGGTCCCGGACCCCAGGACGGAAGGATGGCCTGACCCTTCTGGGGACCGTCCCCCATGGATGGGTCGATTGCATGAGCCTGGGTCTCCTCTGAGGCTGGAATGCCAAACGAGGGGGGAAGTGGCCTTCGGCATTCCAATCTCTGCTGTCTTGGGGTCTGAGTGTCTGCACAAGTGTGGTCTACTGTACGTGGAACTCTCTGCTGGGTGAACTTGGAAGTCAGTCTGCCATCTGGACCAGGGATTAGAATTCAGGGGATTTAAGCTGGGCATGGTGGCACATGCTAGAGGTAGACAGATTTCTCTGAGTCCAGCCTGGTCTATGTAGCAAATTCCAGGCCAGTCAGGATTGCACAGTGAGACCTTGTCTCAAAAAGTGAAAGGAGGAGGAGCCAGGAGGAGAGTGCCTTGAGAAGCCGCCTCTCAGAAGGCCTGGTGATGAGGACTGGCCTGGCTTCTTCCTGTAATTGCCAATGCATTCTGTGGAGAGCTGGGGAAAGAGGGGAGGTGGCAGGCGGGCTGAAGGGCCCTTCCTGGAATATTAAACTAGGTGACTGCGTCATGACATGACGATATTTATACCAAGGGAATTGTGGGTGCTTTGACTGCCTTCTCCAGGGTTCAATGGCCAGTTCAGGAAGGGACACGAAAGCTTCCTGTTGATTCCATTCAGGCCACAAGGCTGCAAGTCCCGTGCCACATACACTGGCCCCTCACATGTCCAGGTGCCTTGCAAAAAGAGATATGGGAATGATACAGCCATATCGGTCCCTTGGCTTATTTGAGAGGGGATTTGGACAGAAGTCACCAGAGGACTATAAGGAAGAAAGATGAGATTGAGGGACTGTCCTACCTGGGCCTGGGACCACCAAGACTGCTGAGGAAAGCCCCACTGCATAGGTTAGAGGGAGCTCAAGAGAGGCTGGAGAGTCTCTGGACTAGAGGGTCCTCTGATGAGCTCAGGCTGGAGAAGAAATAAAGCCAGAGGTCTGCGTTGGTGTTAGGGGTGTGTGTGTGTGTGTTAGGATACATGTGTTGGGGTGTACATTTGTGGTTTCACCAAGTGTTCCTGTGTGTCCTTGGGCTAGAATGTGTGTGAGTGCCTCACCTTGTGTTGGTTGTACTTGTGTGTGTGTTGACTGTGTGTGCGCGTTGGGCATAAGAGTGTGCTAGAAGCGTGGGGTGTCGCCCCTGATGACATTCCCTCCCATCCTCTCCCGAACCCCTCCATTCCAGTGCGGCTGGCCAGTTCTTCCCGGAGGCAGCACAGGTGGCCTATCAGATGTGGGAACTTAGTGCAGTGGCCCGAGTCGAGGTCAGACCCTCCCCACTTCCTGCTTGGCCTCTTCATCACTGCCTTCCTCTTCTGCTTGCACCTTTCCCGCTGAGCTGGTTGGCCCTCGGCTGCCCCCTGGTGGCCAACCTGAGCTGAGGCGTCTTACTTCTGAAGCTTCCAGGTCCTTGCCTTGGTTCTAACAGCCCGGGAAGTGTTCTGCCTGCTCTCTACTAACAGGGCTTCCTCCAGTGAGACTGACTAGGTTGGTTCCTTGGGGGCCTCTGCATCCTGGACCTGGCAGCTGGGCTCTGCATACTGGCTGCCCCCAGAAAAGCAGAGGGTGCTCCTGGGTAGATTACTACAGGGGTCAGGGATGTACTCCTGAGCACCCTCACACCTGGGAGTCCACGAAGGACAGGATGAAAGATTTCACAGAGGCTCCTGGCAAACCAATCTAGACACTGTCGGGTCCTCACCCTCCTCGTGGCCTCTATGCCTGAACCTTTCAAACGAGGGGCTTCTACATGGCGGTCCTGGTGGCCTAAAGGCCCTTGAACTCTGATGTTCTACTCTCCCCTAAATTTGAAGGCAAACGCTAGCACTGCAGGAGATCTCAGGTCATATGAGGAATGAGCTTGGCCTGGCAGATGGAGGTGCCTCCCAAGGCATTAAGTAACACCCAACCTCTCAAAGAGAGCCTACTCCTTTTCAGTTCCACCAGCCTTTCTGATAAGTAAAGAGAAATCGGCTTGGTGCCACACTGGTGGCGTACAGGGTGGCTGCCCTTTTACACAGAGAGCCAAGGGAGCTGGCCTAAAGTCCCGTGGTCTTGGCAAGCAAGAGCGTCTTAAATTTGGTGACCTTTAACCTGAGTGGGGGCAGGCATTACATTTATTTTTATGGGTTATCATCTGTTAATGACATAGGATACATTCTTTCTAGTTTGTGATAGTATATAAAGTATAAAATTATTTTTATCTCAAAACTGGGGATATTGCTCAGTAGTGTTTGCCTAGCAAGCACGAGGCTTTCAGTTTCATTGCTACCATTGAAAAATATTTTTTCACCTATTTATTAATTTGTTAAGTATTTTTTTAAGTGTCTGTTATGTGTCAGGCACTCGTTAGCACAAGAGGATATAAAAAGTATATACAAAAGTTTAGGCATGGTGGTGCATGCCTTTAAACCCAGTACTCAGAAGGCAGAGACAGATCTCTGTAGGTTCAAGATCAGCCTGGTCTATTTAAATGTATTTGAAGATGGATCTGTCCGGGCTGAGATGTTGCTTGGGTATGTCAAGCACCCCGCCCCCAAATTATTCTAAATAAAGCTGCTTAAGCAAAGATCAGGTGTGATGGTGCCCACTCTAATTCCAGCATTCAGAGCGGCAGAGGCAGGCAGCTCTCTGAGTCTGAGGCCATCCTGGGCTCTTTAGGGAGCTCTAGACCAGGCAAAGCTACATAGTGAGACACTGTCTCTACACAAAATAAAAAAACAGTAAAACCCATAAACCACTTAAGCAAAATTAAAAAAGAAATATTAAGACATAGCAAATAGGGGAAGCAACATGAACGTCATTGGGTAATGACTAAAATTTGCAAACAATTCTGCTTCTGAGTCTTTTGGCCTCCTTACCAGGGAGCTGTGGCTACACTTGGCATCAGGGCACCGGGGCAGGGTGGGTGGGATGCTGAGGGGCCCCGGGGGAACGTTCAGTCTCCGGAGCTGGGACTGAGCCGAGTCCAATTGCAGGAGCTGCCCCTTCCCTCTCCAGCACTCAGCTGTCCCCAGGCCTGAGACTGTGCTCTCTCAGCCCTGAGTGGCTTTGTGTGCTGTGCCTCCTCCCCCAGGCTGCTTGGCTTGGGACTCAGCCTGGCAAGCCCTTGCCACTCTGCATGCTCCTCTCTGGACCTGGTTCCCCGGGGGCCTCCAAACACGTGCTGAACCTCGTTCTTCTTCTCACAGCTGAGGGGTACCGTGTGTGCAGCCAATGATTTCAACCCCGATGCTGATGCCAAGGCCCTGCGGAAAGCCATGAAGGGAATCGGTAAGGTGACAAGGACCAGAGAGGGCCCCTAGGCAGCAGTCCGGCAGGTTCAGCAGTAAGGGACTAGACAAGGGGAGGGATGAAGCCTCCAGCCAGGCTCTGCAGGATGAGGAGGAGTCTGTGGGGGCTTCCTCCACCTCAGTGGGAAGGAAAGATAGGAGAGGGTTTGGAATGAACTTCATCGGAGTCTTTCCTGGACACCTAAGTGTCTGACCCCCAGCTTCTGAGCAGGAGCTTGGTGTAGAAGAAAGTACTCAAGCTTCAGGTGTTGACTTTGTCGGACTCTGGATAAGTCCTTAAACAGCTCTGGGTCTCACTTTCCCAGTGGGTAAAATGAGGTCCATTGACCTAAGAACCCAGAGCCCCAGTGCTGGGGTGACAGCACCCCAATTGTTGGCCCCTCCAGGCTGCATTGGCTGACCGTGGGGAAAGCCACGGCATGACTGGTCAGCCGCCTGCACCCAGCTGGGCCTGTGCTTGGAAAGCCCTTGCTGGGAAGGAGAATGGGGGGTTGGTTTCTGTTGTCTTTCCTCCTCTCATACGCCCAGCAGCAACTCCCAAGGGGTCTTGCACCTCCTGGGTCTCAGTGAATTCTTCTCCTGAGAGTAATGCCTACCTAGCATCTCTATGACTATGAGACTACAGGGGGAGGGCGGGGGAAATGCTCTGAAAATGAGATCCCTGTGTCAGACCTGAGGTTGGTGGCACTCGTGTGACAGGCAGGAGGCAGTACCTCAATGCCTTCAGCCAACCTGCTATGCTTAGAGGGACTCCCTGGGAGTCACTGTCAGGGAACTGAAAACAAAGGAAATACAGTCACTAATGGTGCTGAGATTACAGGCTTGGAAGGGTCCTTTAGTGGTTACTCGATCCTATTCATGTTAGAGATGTGGAAAATGAGTCCCAGAAAGAGAAAGGGACCTCCCCAAGGTAGGCAGCCATTGCCAGAGCCAAGGTTAGAACTCAGAGGCTCTGATACCCAACCCATTGCTTGCCACCCCAACTGCCAACCAGGTGCTCATCACCCAGTGCCCGCCACCCTCCTGGTTATAGTTTTATCTCATCCAGTGGCATGTCAGAAGAAAGCAAGGAGCATGGGACAAGGAGCCCACAGAGGCCACGAGCCCACAGGGGCCAGGAGCATATGGCCACCAACCCAGGCCTTTACCCTGACAAAGATTGATGGGAACTATCAGTGGGGGGATGATGGGGAAGCTGAGCCACAGAACCTCCTCTGAGACATGTGGCTTTGGTGACCCAGGAACTGATGAGGCCACCATCATCGACATCGTCACACACCGTAGCAACGCCCAGAGGCAGACGATCCGGCAGACCTTCAAATCTCACTTTGGCCGGGTAAGGGTCCTTCCTCCCTAGTCTGGGTCTCACATCATTACACCTCCCCAGTGAAGCTCAGCCTGTCACTGCCAGCTCTGGACAGTTAGGTACCAGAGGGCTTCATGGTAATGAGACCTCCCACCTGGTTGTGGCATCTTGGAATGTTCTAGTCTTGGGTCACTCTGTTCCCAATTCTTTGTGATCAGTGAGTGGTAACGTGTGTGAGATGGCTTGGTGGGGACACAGTCAGAGATGGTGGCAATTTTGTGTGGATCTGAGACCGGTGTGACCTTGGGTCTGTCCTTGCAGGATTTAATGGCTGACCTGAAGTCCGAGATCTCCGGAGACCTGGCAAGGCTGATCCTGGGGCTCATGATGCCGCCAGCCCATTATGATGCTAAGCAGCTGAAGAAAGCTATGGAGGTACGGGGGCAAGAACTAGAGGGTGGGATGGGGAGGTACTGGTAGTCAGGGTCAGACCTGCAGCGGACATGACCTTTGTCTGGACTTCCTAGGGAGCTGGTACAGATGAGAAGGCTCTCATCGAAATCCTGGCTACTCGGACCAATGCCGAAATCCGGGCCATCAACGAGGCCTACAAGGAGGGTGAGTGGGGGGGGCTGGCCCAGTGCTGCTGGGAAACAGGGGGTCCCCCACCTGTCGGTATCAGCCCACAGCTCTGACCTACCACCTCCGTGACGCTGTGTATGTGTGTGTGTGTGCAGGGATATGTATGTGTGTGGATGGAGACCAGGGTTCAATCTCAGGTACCATCCACCTTAGTTTTAGTTTTATAATTTGTGTGTGTGTGTGTGTGTGTGTGTGTGTGTGAGAGAGAGAGAGAGAGAGAGCGAGAGAGAGCGCACATGCATGTGTAGATCAAAGGACAACTTGTGGGCGTCAATTCCCTCTTTCTACTCTGTGGGTTGCAAGTATTGAACTTCGGTCATCAGGCTTGGCAGTAAGCACCCTTACCTGTTGCCGGGAGGTGATTGAGCAAGACCCACAGGTGACTGAAGGGTGCATGTGGGGAATGTTTGGGGACTGACTTCATTGGCCTCACTTTGCTTTTGGAGACAGGATCTCTTCCTGGTCTAAGGGTTGCCGGTTTGGCAAGGCTGATGGCCAAGGAGCCTCCGTGATCTTCCATTCTTCCCCTCACCAGCTGTAGGATGACAAGTAGGCACTGCCAGGCCTGTTTGGTTTGGTTTTTGCCGTGTGGGTCTGAGGATCCAGCTCAGGTCCTCGTGCTCCTGTGGCAAGCCCCTTACTGGCTGGGCTCTCTCCCCGGCCCTTCTCTGGGGCTTTAACAAACCTCTTAGTGTACCCAGCTCCGCATCTAGGGAGAGTCGGCTGCCCCCAAGAGAACAGAGTCCTGGTGGTAGAAGACAATTTGCATAGAATTTGGGGAGCAGAGCGAGCATTTGGCCTGCTGGGGACGGGGAGGATGGCTTCATGGGGATGGGGCCTGAGCAGTTGCACAGAGACCCGCCCTCCGAAGGGTCTCCCTGCCTCATTATACCCTGCACTGCTATAGTCTGGAAATCCTTAAGCTTTAATCAAGCGGCCCTGGATTGTCATTCTGAAACACTGTGGCTTCTGGTCAGACCTCGAACAGCTTTCTTCCTGCAGAGCTTTGAGAAAATAGTCATTTTAAGTAGGGGAAGGGAGGCACGAAGGTCCCGGATATACTTTGGGGTTCAGTGGCTGCTGGGTAGGAGGGATGGTAGAGAGTGAAGGAAGGCAGGGAGGTTCCACTGGAAGGTGTTGAGGCCTGGGGGTATAGCTCTAGATCCCTGCCTAGCATGCACAAGGTCCTGGGTTCAATTCCTAACAATGCACCAAAATGAATGGATAATGAATGGGAGAGGTGGGGAGCTGGTGCAGGAGTGTGGAGGGGCAGGCACCAGTACCAGCTGCCTCCTGAAATCAGCAGGAAGATAGCTGGAGGCCCTTGGGAACTGACTGCACACTCCTGCATCCCCGCTCTCCTGCCGACATGGCCCTGGCTCGGGTGTGACTCTCACTCTCCAAGCCTCCCGCCTGCAGCTGCTCACACCTTCCTTCCTATCTCAGATTATCACAAGTCCCTGGAGGACGCCCTGAGCTCAGACACATCTGGCCACTTCAGAAGAATCCTCATTTCTCTGGCCACGGTGAGTGAATTCATAGTTCTGAGGTCCACAGACTACAAGAGAGCCTGCCCCGCTACTCACCCCCTTGCCTCCTGGGGGTTCCACCTCAAACCTCTGTGTTCCCCTTTTTTGTTGTTTTGTTTTGTTTTTCAAGACAGTGTTTCTCTGTGTAGCTTGGCTGTTCTGGAACTCAGTCTGTAGACCAAGTTAGCCTAGAACTCACAGAGATGCACCTGCCTCTACCTCCCGAGTGCTGGGATTAAAGGCGTGCGCCACTACCACCCTGTGAAAATTCCTTTTTGATGGTTGGTATTGTGACTTTTTGGGTCTCTTTTGTGTAGCCAAAGCCACATGGGTGACTCTGTCCTGTGATCCTATAACCCAGGGGCCATGCCACATGGCCTACCCTGGAATTGTTTTGGTGTTGCAAAAGATGAAAGGGGGTACCGGGAGGTGACTGAGCAAGACCCACAGGTGACCGAAGGGTGCAAGTGGGGAATGTTTGGGGACTGACTTCTCGATGGTCCTGTGTGTGACAGGGGAATCGCGAGGAAGGAGGAGAAAACCGAGACCAGGCCCGGGAAGATGCTCAGGTGAGACTCCCGCCCATCTCCACTGGACAGCTGGCGGGTCCCTGGCAGGCAATGGCTGTAGGTGGGGCAGGCTCCTGGCTGGGACATGGCTGGTTCCACCGACAGATGTCCCTTTACCCCCACTTGTAGAAGCAAAGCAAATGCTTGAGAGTTTTCAGAGTGGACTTAGAGGGTGGAGCTTGCTTCCTGGCACTTCCCATGTGGATAGTGGGCCCCTCAGAACTGTAAGGCAATCATAGGTCACCCAGGTTCAAACCTCTCAGCCTGCAGTGGGAAATGCAAGTCCAAGAGGGTGACTGATTTCTCAAATCACACAAGCAAATCTGGCCCAGGAGAGCTGACCCAGAAGGAAGGGGTTTGGAATCCTGCTGGGCAAGAGGCCTGAGAACCACATGTCTGGGTTTCCTATCTGAAAAATGAGACCAAAGTCAACACAAGTGACTTGGCAAAGTGTAGCAAGCTCCTGAAGGCTGGTGCTGCTGCCACTCACCGATGATGGATCCCAGGTACCCTGTGTCCAGTGATGACTGGATACCGCCAAATAGTGGCAGGGGAGAGGTCACCAGAGTCCTGGATGCTCTGCTTCTCAGGCTTCTCTGAAGCTGTGCTTAGAGGCTGGGCAACCCCGTGTCATTTCCCCTGAGGAGCACTGTGGCTGCGCAGCCCCCACTGAGGTCCTCACTACTGTCCCCGTGGACCTGAGCCAGGTCTCCATCTGTTCCATCCCCACCTGCTGCAAGAGCTGCCCCCTGCTGGAGATGGGCATAGATGCCACCAACCGTAACGCTAGCATCCTGGGGTTACAGCTGGTCACTAGAAGGAGTGTTAACAAACCCAGAGTCCCAGCTTCACCAGCAGACAGGGGCTGAGACACCAGTGGCAGCTCAGCCATCCCTACGGTAGCCTGATGAAACTGAAATTGCAAAGTTAGGCACACCCCTGCACTAGGGGGTGTGGAGGCTGAGGCAGGAAGAGCAGGAGCCTAGCCTCAGCTCCCCGAGGCCCTGTCTCCAAAAGAACAAAACCCCAACAGCCCCCAAACCCTCCTTACAGTTTGGAAGGTGAGTCCTTTAACGCCCTTCTGTGTACCATGTTTCTCCTGGGGAGAAAAGCAGCCTTAACCTGCCCACAGGGACAGTTTCTGAATGGCTTCAGTTTGATTGGCACTCAGGTCCAACTATCTCCAGTCTGGCTTATACAATACCCTCCAGGACCCAGTACCATTATCTTCAGTACTCAGCTCCTTGCTCAAGAAACTGTGGTCCAGTTGCCCAATTCTTTTCTGAAATACAATGTCAGAAGCTCCAGGGTCCCAGTCAACAGGGTGTTTTCAATTATATTCAAGTACAGATGTTCATAGGAGCTAGCCATGGGGTAACCCCACCGTCGTTTACTGAGCCCACATTGCACGCACGCGCACACACACACACACACACACACACACACACACACACACACACATCCATCAGGTGTTTATTTAGTATTCATGGGCAGCCTCTGGGTATAGCAGGAGGCTTTGGATATTAGGTTTCACCAGCGTCCACCCTGTACCCTGACGTTATCTCTAGGTAATGCTGGTGCCTGGTGCCTGGTCTGCCGTGGATGCTAATGGGTCAGTGGTGGTCCTGGCCCAGCAACTGCTTTGCAAGGGAAGGGGAGAGAGAGAACCAGGGTGGAGGCAGTGGAGGGACCCTTTGAACCATAGCCCTGACAGAGGCTCGGTAGCTTCTCCATGAATAAGGAGCAGATCCTGGTACAATCTGTTTCTGACAACTAACAAGTTTTTGTCTCATAAGTAATATGTATGCTTTCAAAAAATTTAAAAAATATAGCTAAAGGGAAAAAAATCGTACTCCCGCGCCCGTAGCCATCACTTAATATAGCTATTCAAATTGGGCTTTGTTTTTGTATATATAAATAGTTTCCTGCTTGTGGCAGTTAAAATAAGCAGGCAGAGTAAACCTCCCCTGTAATCCCAGCACAGGCAGGAGGCTCCCTGCAAGTTCAGCGCCAACCTGTTTTTGCAGAGTGAGTTCCAGGACTATCAAAGGCCCTATTGAAAGAAAGAAGAGGGAGGGGAGTGATACATGGGGGTGTCAGAGGGCGGGTTCAGGGGTCAGTTCTCTCCTTCCACCTTATCAAGGCAGAGTCTCTCCTGCCTCAGCACTGCTACTGGCCCTCCAAGCTTTCTCTGGCTCTCCCTGTGAGTGTTGGGATTACAGATGTGCACCACTGCATGAGTTCCGGGGATCACACTCAGCAGGTTTTCATGGCAAGTGCTTTGACCAGCTGAGACATCTCGGGTCCGGCCCGAGTTAATCATTCTTCAGTGGCATCCAATCCATTCACACTGCACAGCCATGGCTATTACCCCGCCCCTTTGAACTCTTAACAAAACTGACACTCTGAGCCCATGAGCCAGTGGCTCCTCACTTCCCCTCCCTCTAACCCACAGCAGCCTGCTTTCCATCTCTGGACTTGATCCTCTGCAAGCATCACTTTAGGGGCTTGTCTGCTTGTAGCTGGCTTACTTCACCCGGCACAATGCTCCCCCATGATTCAGCTAGGTGATTGAAAGTATCAAAAGCCCGGAGTAGCCCATAAGCCTTCTAAACGGGATCATCGTGGCTTAACATTTAAATCTAAGTGAAATAAAATATTTCTACAGTGGGGAATATGATGGTAAAATTCCGGGGTGGGTAAAGGAGCCACCTAACTCTGGCCTAATTGAGAGCCACATTATTCATGCATGTACTGCCTGGTGAATATGAGTATTATTTTTCATCTAGATAAAAGAAGCACTAGTATATACAATGCATATGCACATATGGACTTACGTAAATCATACAGAGAAGTCTTGTTTTTATGGTGCTGGGGTTCAAACCCAGGGCCTTACTCTATCTGAGCTCCTCCCCTTTCCCAGTCTTAACCTTTTTTAAAAAAAGAAAAAAAAAATGTGTGTATGTTTCTATGTGTACATAAGTGCAGTGCCTGCAGAGGCCAGAAGAGGGCAGCTCCTCCTCTGGAGCTGAGGTTATGGGCAATTGTGAACCATCTGCCATGGGTGCTGAGAACCAAACTCAAGTCCTTTGCTAGAGCAGGACCTGCTCTTATCCACTGAACCTTCTTTCCAACCACCTTAATTTTTTTTTAAAGCTTCATGGGACCTTGAACATGGTATCATCTTCTGTAATCCCATAACTCAGAAGGCAGAGGCAGGAGGATGACTGTGTAGTTAAGGCCTACCTGGGCTGCTATTTGGTGAGCCCTTGTCTCCAAAGAGAAGAAAAGAAGCCAGGTGTAGTGGTGCATACCTGCAATCCCAGCACTCAGGAGGCAGAGGCAGGTGGATTTCTATGAGTTCCAGTCCAGCCTGGTCTACATGGTGGGTTCCAGGCCAGCCAGGGCTACATAGTGAGACCCTGTCTCAAAACTAAATAAATAAGGCCTGGGATCTCGGTCTATGCAGGAGAATACGAAGGTTGGCAGGATGCTGGGGAAGGACTAAGGTGACAGTTCAGGTACATGGAGACCAGCTGCATTTATTCCCAGACATTCTGGGTCAGAGCATCCCGGCTCACAAAAGTCCTGTCCACAGTGTTCACTCCACAGGCCATTCTTCTTAAGGACAATGCTCCTAAGGTGTAGTGCCCACCTATGCCACGTGCCTGTGACTCCCAGACCTCAGCTGCCCTGCCTTTCTGTCTGGGACCTGAGGGGCTAAGGTGACAGAGTCTGATAGTCTTCCGCTTTGAGTTCTAGTCCAGAGATTAGAGAAAGGATGTGTCCCCCACAGTCCTTCACTGTGACCCTGGGGTCTCTTGGGACCTCTGCCACTCTGAGCCAGGCCTTGGGGCTCCAGGGTCCTCCGGCCGCTCCCTTTGGCCTCTGACTCTTGCCTCCCCTCTCTCCCTCCTCTCTCTCCTCCCCGCTCTCAGGTTGCTGCTGAGATCTTGGTGAGTGTTCTGTTCTTCACGGGGAGGTACCAGCATCTGAGTCAAGTCTTGCTGTGCTTGGGCTGGGCTGAGTGGGGCAGGATTGGGCAGCGAGTGGGGCCTTTCCCTCACAGCTTCTCTCTCTCCCCTTCCGGGCCTTTCAAGGACTCGGTTTTAAAAGGACCCAGTGTGATAGTGCATGATTATAATCCCAACACGTGGCAAGTGGAGGCAGGAGGATCAGGAGTTTAAAGTCATCCTCAGCTTCTTAGAGAGTCTGAGGCTAGCCTGGACTACACGAGATCCTGTCTCAAAAAAAACGGGGGGCGGGAGCAAAGCAAGTGTTTCCCATGCTTTAGCCATTCATCTCTGGCTTGATTTATGCTGTATAATCACCAGCTCTGGTTGTTGCCTTTAAATTGATTCATTATAATTTTCTTTTTTAAACCCAAAGTGGGTTTTTAAAAGAGAATCTAAATGGGATCAGAGGTGAGCTAGCTAGGGAACTGTGGAAACTTTTATATGGTAGAATAAAATGTATTTGCCCTTGACCCCAACTGGGGGAGTCTGGCTACAACATTTTTGCTCCTTCACACACATGTCCATGCTCCCCAGAGGGATTCTCTGGTGACTGGGGAGAAGTACCAAGTCCCTATACCCAGCTCCAGTCCCATCTCTGGGTCCTGAGGACTTCAAAGGGAGATGGAATGACCACTATGCTCCAGAGTTGAGAAGAGAAGGGACCAACCTCAACCCCCTTGGATAGCTGGTCTAACCCCACCCTGCCTGCTTTGAGCCTCAGCAGAGACAGTCAAACTAACCACGGTTTTCTCGTGTTAACCCTTGCCCCAACTGGGCTCTGCAGGAAATAGCGGACACTCCCAGCGGAGACAAAACTTCCTTGGAGACTCGCTTCATGACGGTCCTGTGCACCCGTAGCTATCCCCACCTCCGCAGAGGTGAGCCTGCAGAACCCCCACCCCTTCCAGTGTGGCAGTGGGAGCCCCAAATCTGACCTGAGCCTCCCAGCCCTCTCCTTACTCCGGTGTTAGGGGACTCCAGAGCCCGAGCCTGTCCTCAGCCAACTCCCTTCCCCACCTTACAGAAGCAAGTGGAAGAACACCTAGGATAAGGAGTAAGCAGCCCATTTCACCTCAGAAACAGGCAGTATGAAGGATTCTGAGGTGTGCTGTCATGGTCCATTGGTGATGTTTACCAGGGACAAAGCAGAGAGGGGTGAGGTTGGCACCGGACAGGCCACCGCAGCTGTGTGCAGTGGCAATCCTGAAGTCCCCTGTCGCTGAGACTTTTGCTGCCTCGAATGTGTCTGCTCAGTCCTTTTCAACACTCAGATACTGGGAGCCTCATGCTCCTTCGCCTTGACTCCAGCCCCCCACTTATCAGCTGTGTGGCTGAGCAGATGACTGAGCCTCTGTTCCTTGATCCCCTTATCTACGAATTGGGGTTTTAGTTGTATGTACCTCACATGGTTGCTAGGATACCAAACCTACAATAAACATTAAGTAGTCGGCCTGTGCAGGGCATGCAGAGCTGCTTGGGTGCCATTTTGGTTATTATATAGTAAGCGAGTCGGGGAATAAGAGGGAACCCAGAGAGGAAGACCAGCCTTCGGTAACAGAACCTGCCAAGCCCTGGGGCTGTTGGCCAGATCTGGAGGTGCTGGTGTGACCTAGTTGGCTCCCAGCCTTATGACAGCCGTGGGGCCAGAACCTGCCTGTCACCTCAGCCTTACCCAGTGCACAGCATACACTGTGAGTGTACTGTGAGCATTCATGGGGTAGGTAGGTCAGGTGACCCTGCCCAGCTGGTGTTCACCTCTCCCTCACTTCTCTTGGCCAGTCTTCCAGGAGTTCATCAAGATGACCAACTATGACATAGAGCACGTCATCAAGAAGGAGATGTCTGGGGACGTCAGGGATGCGTTTGTGGCCATCGGTAATTGGCAGGCACCAGGGGAAGGGGCTGGGGCGTTGCTGAGAATGTGGGCAGGTTCCCTAGAGGAATGTAACCTTAGCATCATCCTGGGAACTAAACACTGTCTCAGATCACCTCCCCTGCCAAGGTGTGATTGTGGGGGACAGCCGAGGACATCTTCAAGGCTCTGGGGGCAGGGTGAGAAAAGGACATCCCAGGGAGAGGACCAGGAGAGCAGAGAAGGGCAGTGCTCTGCAGGATTGGAGTGTGTGTGTGTGTGTGTGTGTGTGTGTGTGTGTGTGTGTGTGTGTGTGTATGTATATATCACACACAAGACACACTGTATATGCACACATGAGATTCACAGGACATGTATACATAGCGTGCAAGATGCCTTCATTCACAGGGCACACACTGCATGTGTACACATGACACACCTTAAGCATGTTCTCTCATTCCACATTCTGCCACCGAGCTGCCACCTTTTTCGTTTTTATTTATTTATTTTTTCCCTTTGGTTTTTTGAGACAAGGTTTCTCTGTGTAGTTCTGGTGCCTGTCCTGGATCTTGCTCTGTAGACCAGACCGGCCTCAAACTCACAGAGATCCACCTGCCTCTGCCTCCTGAGTGCTGGGATCAAAGGGGTGTGCCACCACCCTGTGGCTTTTTGATTTTTAGTTTCTCGTTACATTTTATTATTTATTCTGTGTGTGTACACATAAATGCATGTACAGGTCTATGCGTACCATAGAATGTGTGTGGAGGTCAAAGGAACCAACTTTATAGAGTTGGTTCTCTCCACTATGTGGGTCCTGGGGATTGAACTCCGGTCCTTAGGCTTGGTTTCAAATCCATTAGCCTGCTGAGCCACCTCACAGCACAAAGATCTTGACTTTGAAACGGTCTCTTTGCCTTTTGGGGTCTCATTTCTCGCTGTGTAAATATGGATCCATACAGAACTAAGCATAATATTGCATCCTGTACTTACCTTATTGTACCAGCAGGTGGCGATAGAAGGCTTTCAGAATCTCTCAACTGCAAAATGCATCTTGAATTTCAGGAATTCTAAAATGTGGAGGAAAAGTGTTTTAGATTAGATAAATGGAGGTGTTGCTTACAACAGCTCCTTACCACCTACAGCAACACCAGAGAGGTAGGACAGCATAGTGATTGGAAGCTGGGGAGCTAAGTGGGAACTGCCACGTGATTGCCGTGTGTCCCCGGGAGAACAGGGAACCTGTCTCAGCTTCTGCACTCTGTGACAGGACATGAAAACCGGCCGTCTACTCAGTCCTCAAGTGACACAGAAGTTATTAGACACACACACACACACACACAGACACACAGACACACACACACACACACACACACACACACACACACCACCCCTGCTCAGAACATCTCTAGAATCTGAATTTCTAGAGTGGAGTCTAAAACTCGTGTTGTTTTTAGGTTTTGGGTTTTTTTTGTTTTTGTTTTGGGGTGGGGTGTGTGTGTGTGTGTGTGTGTGTGTGTGTGTGTGTGTGTGTGTGTGTGCCACATTTGTGTGGTAGCCTGTGAAATCCAGAAGAAGGTGTCATAGTCCCTAGAATTGGAGTTAATAGACTGTAGTAAGTGACCCAAAGAAAGATCTAGGAACAAAACTTGGGTCCTCTGGAAGAGCAATAAGTGATCTTAACCCCTGAGCTATCTCTCCAGACCCAGAAACTCAGTTTTTAGCCATCTTCTCACATGCTTTTAATGCACTCAATTGGTGGCCCTGCATCCAGCATCCCCTAGGGCTTAAATCCCATTTATGCATTCTGCTGACCTCAGTGAGCTTCAAACATCTTCACTGTAAAAAAGATGCAGCACATGACAGAGTGAGAGATGGACATAGGGACGAGAAAAGGGAGTAGCACCGTGGAGGGGATTAAAGTGACACCCCTGAGCAAGGCAGGTTAGCAGTGACCTGCAGACCCAGTCCGTTAGTTGCAGTAGAGAGAGAAAAGCCCTGCCCGGGGTCTGAGCGGCACACAGCCTCTGACCATATTCCCTGCTTCTCTCTCCTCTTCCCTACAGTTCAGAGTGTCAAGAACAAGCCTCTCTTCTTTGCTGACAAACTGTACAAGTCCATGAAGGTATGGCATCTGACCTGTTCATGAGCACCGTCTTTCCCAAACCAACAGGCACAGATGTGCACCATCCCCCAGATGAGGACTTCAGGCTGCTGTTTTCCCCACTTGGCTATTTATCAGCATCTGCCTTTGGCCCAAGGATAGTCTTTCTCAATCGGGGTGATTTTTGTACCCCTCCACCCAGGGATATTTTTAATATCCAGATAAATTTCTGGTTGCCAAAACTTAAAAGACTATTGCTGTTGGCATCTGGTGGGAGTGACCAGGGACATTAATATACCCTGTTGTACACAAGATGGATCCCTATATCAAAGAATGATCCAGCCCAACTGCTTGAGAACTCACTTTGTGTCAAAGCTTGAGCCTTGTGTCTACCGCTGACCACAGTTGACCCCCATGCAGTGCTATGGGCCCATGGTAACCCTCTTTATTTTCTAGAAGAACAAAGACAGTACAGGGCAGTTAAACTTGGCCCATGTCTTATACCCGACGAGTGGCAGAGCTGGAGGGAGAGGAGAGGGAGCCCTGGTGCTCATATATTCCAGATCCTGTGTTAGTTTCCAAGACTTTTGTAATGAGTTTCCACAAACTTAACGACAAGAACATAATCTGGTTCTAAAATCGAGGCATTGGTAAGGCCTGTTCCTTCCTCTCCCATCCCTCCCATCCCTCCCCTGCCTCCTGGGGGCTGCCAGGAGCCTCTTGTGTGCCTTGGGTTTGGCTGTATCACTCAAGCCTCTGCCTTCATCTTCATGTGTATGCCTGTGTCCCTGCTCCCCTTAGCTGCCACCCCGTGGGTTTAGGGTCCTAATCCAACATGACTTCATTTTAACTCATGACAATGGTGTGTTCCTTAGCTTTCCATCTCAGTGGTATAATATCTGGGAGGAAAATCAAATTAAAGGATGAAAAAATGGGTTTGGGCTCAGAACTTCAGAGGCTTCAGCCCATGGTCTTCTGGTCCATTGCTTCTGAGCCTGTGGTGATACAGAATGTCATGGCAGGGAGCACATGGGAGAGCAGAGCTGCTCACTTCCTGGTAGCCTGGAGCAGAGAGGGAGGAAGGGATTAGGTACAAAGTCCATCCTCTAACACCCCCAGGACTGACTTCACCTTCCCACTTCCCAGTAATGCCACCAGATTGGATATACATCAGTGCACTGACCTGTCGAGGAAGTCAGAAACCTGAAGATCCGCTTCCCCAAATCTCTAGCTCTGAACACTGCACTGGGGACCGAGCCTTCGGTGCATGAATTTGGGGAAGGATGCATCCTCCAAACCACAACAACACAAAGACTCTGTTCCCAAGGTTACATTCTGAGGTTCCAGGAGGATGTGAATTTTAGGAGGGCCTGCTCAGCCCACACAGGCCCTCTGCACCTCTCTGTCTGGCCAGTCCTCAACATAAGGAAGTTTGATTGGTACTGTCTGTCTGTGGAAGACACAAGGGAGTTTGATTGGTACTGTCTGTCTGTGGAAGATGGTGATGGAATAACCCACCTGGTTCGGGAGGGCAGAAGCAACAGGCAGGCAGACATCTGCTGACCCAGCTCTGCCTCTCCCTCATGCCCCATGTATCTCTTCTTCTTGACCCCACCAGGGTGCTGGCACAGATGAGAAGACCCTCACCAGGGTGATGGTCTCCCGGAGTGAGATAGATCTGCTCAACATTCGGAGGGAATTCATTGAGAAATATGACAAGTCTCTACACCAGACCATTGAGGTGAGGGAAGGGCTGCTCCGCGGGCTCTTGGATTACCGTGTAATTCAGGGAACTGCTAAAGGGAGACCTGCCTCGTTTTTGCTATGAAAATATTTCTTTTATTTTATGCGTATGTGTGTTTGCCTACATGTAAGTCTGGTGCCCAATAGAGTTCAGAAGAAGGTAACAGGTCCCCTGGCCCTGGAGTTGCAGAGTTGTGAGTTGCCATGTGGGTGCTGAGAACCGAACCTGGGTCCTCTGCAAGAGCATCAAGTGCTTTTAACTGCTGAGCCATCTCTCCAGCCACTGGTTTTTACCTCTTGTAATTGTATTAAAGTATAGTTTACAGATTGGTCAGGTGGTAACAGATTACCAGCACTAATTGTCAATCATACTAAAGCTTAACTTACATACCACAAAACTGATCTTTTTTAAGAACACAATTCAATATTTATTTTTTGTTTACTGGTAGTGGGGACTGAAACACATGCTAAGTATACATTGGACCACTGAGCTATTAACACCAACCTTTCTTAAAAAAAAAAAAAAAAATTTTTAATTTTGAGACAGGGTCACTATACTGCCCAGGCTGGCCTTAAATTCACTTTGTAACCCAAGCTGATGTTGAACTTGCCATCCTCCTGCCTCCACCTCCTATTTGCTAGGATTACAGGTGTGCGCTACCATACCTGGTTCATACAGTGTTAGAGATCAAACCCAGGGCTTCATGCTTGGTAGACAAGCAGTCTACTAACCGGGCCGCACTCCTAGCCCCCCTTTCAGAGTTTTGATTTATTTGATATAGTGCTCTGCATTGAAGCTAGGCCTTCATGCATCCTAAGTGAGCACACTATAAATGAGCTATATTCCCAGCTCTGAATTTTCCAAGTAGCCATGTATCCTGTAATCTGGAAGTATCGATAGATCAAAGTCATTCTTGACTGTATAGTCAGTTGGAGGCCAGCCTGGGCTACATGAGACCTTGTCTCCAAAACCAAAAACATCATAAGTAATAGAAGTCCCTTCTAAATGGGGATCTATGCCACTGGGGAGGGTCTGGCTTCCTGGCCTGACTACAGACAGACCCTTGTGGTGTATCAGAGTAAGTAGTGTTTACCAGCTTTGTTGCTGGCCCGGGCCTTGGTGCAGGGTGGCTCTCTCAGATGATGGCTGTAGAACAGTGGGTACCAAGGGCTGAGGAATGTGCCTGGCTTCCTGAGGCAAGATGGAGGCCTCAGGCCCTTCAGTGGGAAGCGGCAGGGCTGGTTGGACAGGAGCTAGGCTGGCAGATGGGATCCAAGTTTCTCCCAAAAGGAGAGGAGGCACTGTGCCTTGCAGCTCTGCTGGGTCAGGTTCTAAAGGGCCAATTCCTGGAGGTACCAGGTGTGTGTCTGGAGAGGTCTCACTGGCCTTGGTACAGCAACTGGGTTGGTGACTGAGATGCTGAGGGTCATGTCTAGGCTGATGGCCACTAGGAGGCTGGGGAATTTGGACCAGAATTCTTCCTTTCTCACTCTGCTTTCTCTTGCCCTGTCAGGGTGACACCTCTGGAGACTTCCTGAAGGCTTTACTAGCTCTCTGTGGTGGAGAAGACTAGAGCTACTGGTCTTGGTGGCCCTCTGCCAAGCAGTGGCCAGCAGCACCAGCCACCGTGACCTGACCAAGCCATAAGGAAGGAGGGGTGAGGGGTGGAGTTGGACTGTCATGCAGCGGGGCCTCTCTCTAGCCATCGAGGGTCCCGGGCAGTCCCTTCTGTTATCCCTCCTGCTCGTGGCTGAGTGGCAAGAGAACCACAGCCACCTATCCCATTCACCCCTGCCTCCCTTCTACCTCCTCCGCAGCCCTCCCTAGCTTCCAGCCCTCGACATAACCCCTGCCCTGATTGCAGCTTTGTCACATCTCAAAACATACCCAGCCTCTGGCTATAAAATGAGTGATGTGTGTGCTTTGAAGGGCGGGCTGTGGTGGCTGGTGCCAGGTGAGCATTCTGGGCTGAAGGAGATAGATTAGTTTGATAGAGTGGTGATTCCCCCCAGCTGTCACCATCCAATCTGCTAACGTACTGACTGAGGAATTTCCATGCCCAGGTTTCACGACACCCTGGGTTTCAGACCTTGGGCCCTTCCTTCCCGTTCTCTGGCCTCAGTTTTGTTATCTGCAAAATGAGAGGCCAAAATATCTTGGCTTCCCTTCTAACTCTGACCTTGTAGACGGAGCCTGCAGCTTGAATCTTATTCATTCTTTTACAAGGGGAAGAAACGGGGCCAAGGAGATAGTTCACTTCAGCAAGTTCTGTGCACGCATGAGGACCTGAGCTCAATCTCCAGAACCCACATTAAGAAAGCGGGGGTATGGCCGGGCGGTGGTGGCGCACGCCTTTAATCCCAGCACTCGGGAGGCAGAGCCAGGCGGATCTCTGTGAGTTCGAGGCCAGCCTGGTCTCCAAAGCGAGTTCCAGGAAAGGCGCAAAGCTACACAGAGAAACCCTGTCTCGAAAAACCAAAAAAAAAAAAAACATAAAAAAAGAAAGCGGGGGTAGCCACCAGGCAGGGTGGCGCACGCCTTTAATCCCAGCGCTAAGGAGGCAGAGGCAGACGGGTCTCTGTGGGTTCAAGGCCAGCCTGGTCTACATAGGCCAGCCAGGGATCCTGAAAGACCCTGCACGAAAACAAACAAGCATATATAAACAAAGAAACAGGTGCATTGTGTGTCTATAATCCCAGTGCTGGGAGGTGGAGACTGGAGGATCATGGGACTTCACCTCCTCCTGCTTCTTGGGAAGATACACAGTGGGAGCCTACGTCAAGCCCAGGAAGTTCCAGCTTTCCTGGGGTTCAGGTCCCCCAATCCTTGTCCCCTGAATGCTCTCCCCTTACAACCAACCCTGTACTTCCTCTCCGACATCCTCAAGGACACGATGCCATCAGTAGATTCATCGAGGGAGGTGGGTGGAGATAAGCCATGAGGATCCCAGCAGCTTCCCTGTCCATCCTCCCACAGCCACCTCCTGCTCTGCACTTGGATCTGAGATTTTCCAGGTCCTGTGATGGGAGGCTGACTACTGGGCAGAGGGCTCAGCCCTGACCCCTTGGCTGGCCCACCAAGGTTATTATTGTACTCCGGGTGTTCGGGATAGAAGCTGTCCACATGGACAGTTGGAGATTCTGGGTCTGGTCACTTGTCATTTCCTCACTGGGTGACCTTGCCGTTATTCACTGGCCTCCCTGGGCCTCAGTTTTCCCGTTTGTATAGTGAAGGATTGGACGCGATGAAGAGTCGGACACGATGATGAGTCTGAAGCTAAGAACACTTAGCTTCTCAGATCTCTTCCCTTCTTCCAGCAGGCTCCTAGGAGTCCAGGTGCCCCGGAGGGAGGGTCAGCTGAGAGTGCTTTGGGATATTTGCCCAATTTAACAATTAGCAAAATGGCTCGTGGCTTTGGAGTCAGACTTCTTATCGGTGTTGTGAGCTGTAGCCTCTTTGAACCTCTGTTTGCTTATCTGTAACATGGGCTCCCAAATCTCCTCCCATAGCCTTTGTGGGAATCCAATGAGAGGTTCTCTGAAGTGCCCCACCAAGCACCTGCTTTGCTTGAAGGCAGCTGGTACCACCGTCTGCTCTGAGCCAGGCTCAGTGGCAGGAGCTAAGAGGCAAATTCACGATGTCTCTGGGCTTGGACGTCAAGTGGGTCAGCCTTGGAGCATAGAGACATCCAAATTGGAGAAAAATGATGCCCTCGTAGACACATATAAAGCTGGTCTCCATGGCCAGCTGTGATCTCAGAACTTAGGAAGCCAAGGCAAGAGGATAGAAGGTTTGAGGTGAGCCTAGGCTTCATATCAAGACCCCCATCTTAAAATGGGGCCGAGGGGATGGTTCAGCAGGTGTTTGCTGCATACGGGTGAAGACCTACATCTAAATCTCCAGCACGTGGGTGAAAAGCCATGCATGGGAGCTGGGAGAGATGGATCAGTGGTTAGGAATGCTGGCTGCTCTTCACAACATTCTAGAATCTCAGTTCCAGTAGATCCAATGCCCTCTTCTTCAGGTACCAAGCATGAAGTGGTACACAAACGCACGCAGGCAAAACACTCCCCACACAAAATAAAAATAATTTTTAAAAAGCAGTGTATGGCTGTGAATTCCTGTAACTCCAGCTGGTAGGAAAGATGGTAGGAATGATCACTAGGGCTCCGGGTTCAGTAAGAGACCCTGCCTTGAGGGAGGAAGGCGGTGAGTGATAGGGACCCTGCAGTCCTCTGGCCACACTCACACCCATACATTAAATCCTTTAATCCCAGCACTCGGGAGGCAGAGGCAGGAAGATCCCTATGAGTTAAAGGCCAGCCTGGTCTACAGAGCGAGATCCAGGACAGGCTCCAAAGCTACACAGAGAAACCCTGTCTCAAAAAAAAAAATTGAAAATTGCATATATGTGCATACGTATATTAAATATTTCAAAGAGAAATGAACTAGGGGGAAAAAAGCAAAGGAATGTGAGGGCTAGGAAAGAGGAGACCCCACAAGGTAATCACAGAAAAATGCTGTGGGAAGCAGGAATGCAAACAGCTGAGGAAGGCCTGTCTGGTGCCTCTGCACGTTTTCCTTCTGTCTCCAGCTGAAGTGAGTCTTCTTCAGGGATGGCTCATAAGGGCGGATTTCAGTGTTTATAGGGTGAAGGGGTTGTGACAGACGTGTTAGTTTGCATCCAGTCCCAGAGGGTCTGAAATGTCAGGATTTCCCTAGACCCCGGGAAAGTCTTTAAGGCTTGTGGGCATGGGGTGGTGAAGCCTCCTTGTGCCTGAAGAACAAGCCATACTTTCTTTCTTCCTTTTTTTTTTTTCTTGAGGCTTTGTCTCATGATGTAGCCCAGGCTGGCCTCAAACTTGCTATTGGAGATGGAGATAACCTGATCCTCCTGCCTCTGCTTCTGAGTGCTGGATTGCAGGCATGGCCTATCAACTCCCACAAGCTATACTCATGCAGAAGACAGTCGTTCTGAATCTGAAGCAGCTTGTTCATATTCATTATTCATTCATTCACGAGCTTCTGTTTACCGATACCTGCTGTGTACGGTGCTGGTGCCAGGAGCTAGAGCTACAAATGAACGGGTGACGGTTCTAATCCCTACAGGGCTTCAGTGAGTGCCTCTTCTGTGTGATTCTCTCCCCAACAGCGTTGGAGGCCCAAGGTCAAGGCACAAAAGTGATGGGGGTTAAATTAAAAGGAAAGCGACAGCAGTTCAAACCACCGCTGTCCCAAAATAGGAGATGGGCTAGGTACTGAACGGGCCTCAGAAATTCTCACCTCCCTCAGTGACGGAGGAGGCAACCATCACTTGTACAGAGAGGAAGTGCTTGGCCATCACAGGAGTCAGAATGGGAACTCCACAGTCCCTCCAAGGTCTGGGGTTCTAATAAATGTCCCCTACCTTCCATCATCTCGGTCACCCTCTGAGATGAGCTTCCGGGCTGGAGTCACCTTCCCTCTAAGTCTTTACTGCTCTTCTTTGCTGTTTGTTTTTATGTTATGTGTTGAGTTGGGGGAATGCTGACATGTATGTATGCGCGTCACACAAGTGCCTGCTACCTACAGAGCCGAGAAGAGGACACTAGATCGATCCTCTGGAGCTGGAATTACCCTGTAGAAGCTGTGAACCAAATCCAGGTCCTCTGCAAGAGTCACAAGTGCCATCTCTCCAGCCCATTTGTTTCTAGAACAGGGTCTCGTGTAGCACAGGCTAGCCTCAAACTCTGTGTAACTAAGAATGACCTTGAACCTGTGACCCTCCTGCCTCGGCCTCCCAAATGCCGAAAGTATGTCATGCTGGAGCTGAAACTCAGGGCTCTGTGCCTGCCAGGCAAGCACTCTGCCAACTAAGCTATATGCCTACACCCCTGGTCCCCTAGTCCCTTTTCCTCGGACCATGCGTTTTTCCCTTCAGGGAAGTCCTTTTCAGAAGCCTTGGGCTTTGGGACCACAAGGAAATACCTGAAGGAAGCAGCAGCTTGGGAGGGGGATGCCCCGGCTAAAGCTGAGCCCCATATCTGCTCACACTTCTGCTAAGAGACAGCAGCGAAGGAACTGTTGGCTGCTGTGAAATTCCCGCTGTTTTCTTTCCCCAACTCAGCGGAAGCCAGAGCTGAGCCACAGCAAACCTCTCAGGAGAAGCTTCACCCAAGGCAGCCATTGTTTCCTTTACAGGGCTCTCCTGTCACTGACCAAAGCGAGGTTCCTATTGGTAGGCTAACTTGCCTGAAGACACCATCCCAGCAGGACTGGCAGAGAAAACTTCCTCATTTTCACAGTTGGAGGAGGCTAGAGGGAAATTCTAGCTACACCACAGCTTCCATCTTGGGCCGCAGGCGTGAGTCTGAGTCCCAGTCCACCACTAACAGTAGGGAATTCATTGACCTTCCTATGTCTTATTTTCCTTCTCTGAGATGGGGGCAGCAAAGGTGTGTCTACCTCCCGAGCTGTAAAGTTAAAGCAGTGCATGTACATCTCTGAGAGTACTGTCCAAACCAGAAAGTCAACTCCGTGACATTGGCTCTTGTGTTCTTTTTTTTTTTTCAAGACAGGGTTTTCTCTGTGTAACAGTCCTGGCTGTCCTGGAACTAGCTCTGCAGACCAGGCTGGTCTTGAACTCACAGAGATCCACCTGCCTCTGCTTCCCGAGTGCTGGGATTAAAGGCGTGTGCCACCACTGACCCTGATGACATCAGCTCTTCATTCTTTTTTTTTTGGAGCTGAGGACCGAACCCAGGGCCTTGCGCTTGCTAGGCATGCGTTCTACCGCTGAGCTAAATCCCCAACCCTCAGACTCTTCATTCTTAATAACTGACATGCTCATAGGGAGCCTCAACTGAGTCCCTACACTGTGCCCCCACCCTCAGCGGCCTAAGTGGAGAAAAAGGATTATTAGAGACTGGG